TGTGTTTTCTGTCTTAATGCAGAAGGAGCGGGATGGGGAGCTGGCGATGACCAAGAAGGAACACGGGAAGAGCTCTTTCTCTCTTGGTAACTATCATCAATTTCAGCTAGAATTTCCTTTACGTTTTACTAACTTCCTCTTGTGTGTTTTATGTCTTAATGCAGAAGGAGCGGGATGGGAGCTGGCGACGACCAAGAAGGAACACGGGAAGAGCTCTCTCTCTCTCTTGGTAACTATCGTCAATTTCAGCTAAAATTTCCTTTACATTTTACTTGAGAAATTTCCTTTGTGTAGGCTATAGTTGGGTTGTACCCCCTATGGGATACCCCACTATAGCCTACACAAATAAGTAAGCTATAACATTCTGACACACCCCCATAGGCAAAGTGGGGGAGAACAAGGGGTCACAAGACCAGTCAAGCAAAAACAAAGCAAAGCTCAGGGTGGATCACAAAGTCACCACACATTCCGAGCACAAGTTCAAGGGCCACAAGGCCAGTTCACATGCAAGACTATATATAGAGATATACAAGAGTCAAGCAAGCAAGAGCAAGAGTATATATAGGTCGAGGTACAAGCAAGGTCAAGAAGTGAGCAAGTGAGGCAAGACAGGCACAAGGCCCAACTGCGTGCAGCAGCGCTGATGATCACAAGGCGCAAGTGCCTTGGTGAAGACATCAGCAGTGTTGGCCTCAGAGGCCACGTACGCAAGTCGCAACTGTCCACGCTGCTGTAGCTCACGAGCAAGAAAGTAGCGGAGAGCAATGTGCTTTGTCCTGTGCTCCAGTCGCTGCTCTCGACACAAGGCCAGCATGGCCTTGTTGTCTACGTACAGGACTGGAGGAGAACGAGGCGGCTCTCCAAGGTCGGTCAACAGGTAGGTGAGCCAGTGTAACTCCTGTGCAGCCATAGCCCCGGCGTAGATCTCAGCCTCACAACTGGAGCCGAGAACAGAAGACGAGCGGGTAGCCCGCCACGAAACAGAGCCGGAACGAAGGCTGAAGGTGTAACCCTGTGACGACCGCTGCGTAGCCTGGTCGTCAGCCCAAGAAGCGTCCGCGTGCCCAGTGAGGACCACTGGACTGCGCCCTCCAAGCACTAGCCCCATGCCCGACGTACTGCACAAGTAGCGCAACACCCTCTTCGCTGCAGCCATGTGCTCTGGTCGGTGTCTCCCAGGAGCAACATAGCGTGCGAGAATGCTAAGAGGGTATGCAAGGTCAGGTCGTGTGCACATCATCAGGTACATGAGGCAGCCAACAAGCTCTGCATACGGGCCACTCGACTCTACGGACTCATCCGAAGGCAGAGCTGAGAGCGAGTGGCGAGTAGGCAGAGGAGTGGCCTGAGGCGAGGAGTACATGAAGCCGAAGCGCTGAAGGACCTGCTGCACCATGTGTGACTGAGTCAGGGTAATGGTGCGGCGTGCTCTGTCTCGGGTGATCTGCAAGCCAAGGTAGCTGCGCAGTTCACCCAGGTCAGTGCACGTGTGTCTCTTCTGCAGCTCGGACTTCACGTAGGCGAGTCCAGCAGTGTCAGCTGTGGCAAAGACCAAGTCGTCGACGTACACGAGGATGTAGAACGGCGGCAGAGAGGTGTCGGTGCGCAGAAACAGCGACGGGTCGGCAGTAGAAGGAGCAAACCCAAGTGCCGCCAGCGTAGTCCTCAGTGTGTCGTGCCACTCACGTGGCGCCTGGCGGAGACCGTAGACTGGACGCCGGAGACTCCACTGGGTACCAGGAGGGAAAGACCCAGTGAAGCCAGGTGGGCGACGCAGCCAGATCTCCTCGTGCAGGCTGCCCTGCAAGAAAGCTGTGCTGAAGTCGAGAGAGTGCAGCTCGTAGTCACGGTGTGCAGCAACGTGCAGCAGTACCCGAAGAGTGGTCATCTTCGGGGTGGGGGAGAAGGTCTGAAAGTAGTCAACCCCCTGCCGCTGACTGAAGCCACGAGCCACGTAACGCGCCTTGAAGACAGGCGGAGAACCCGGCGGCCGCTTCACCCTGAAAATCCACATGCCACTGACGATGTTCGCCCAAGGAGGGGGAACAGCGTCGACGTAGGTGCCTGTGGACTTCCAGGAAGCCATCTCTGCATCCATAGCTGCCTGCCACTGAGAGGAGTAGGGACCCTCTATCGCCTCCGCGTAAGAGCGCGGAGTCGGGATGTCTAGTGCATCCGGGTCTCCCTCAGGGGCTAGCAGTACAGACGCGAGATGAGGTGAAGCGGCGGCCAGACACTGGAACTCCTCCTGCCTGTCCTCAAGGACGTCCGTGCCAAGGGCACACTCACCCCCGACGGACGGAGGACAGGCAGACTCAGACTCAGCGACAAGACTAGCAGCGTAGTCTAGACGACAGCGCGCAGCAAAGTCGACGAGCTCAGTGACAAGGGCAAACGCAGCAGAAGACTCGAAAGAAGGGTCAGTGACAGCAGTAGCAAGGAGACGCGTGACAGTAGGACTGGCAGCACGAAGAGAGTCCGACTCCGGGTCGGCAAGAGCAGGAAGAGAGGAAGCAGGAGGAGAAGGCAAAGGGGCACGCAGAGGAGCAGTAGACGGACGCAGAGACATCCGGTGCGTGCCAGGGACAGGAGGAGGACGCTGACGCGAACCGCGACCACTAGCGCGCGCAGTACGAACAGGCGACGCAGGACGAGACGCAGGCTCACGACGCTCAGTAAGACCTCAAGTCGGACCAGCGTAGGGAGAAGGAGCAGGCAAAGGTGAGGCAGGCTGTAGCTGTGACTGGGACGAGACAGGCTGTGGACCCTCTAAGGGAGGAGGAGGAGGACCAGGAGAAGGTGTAAGACCAAGAACCTGCTGCAGGAGCGGAACGAAGTACGGCCGGGGCCGCGCGGCGACGTCAGAAACAGCAGGGACAGCACCAGAACCCCCAGCAGGAGTACCCGCTCCAGCAGCACCTCCAGTAGCTCCAGAACCTCCAGCAGCACCACCAGGAGCACCGCCAGTCGGACCTCCAGCGGCAGTCTCAGCGCCAACACCCTCAGCAGCACCAGCTCCAGGAGAACCCTCAGACCCAGCAGCTCCAGCACCCACAGTACGAGCACCTCCGGGACGCTCGGCAGCAGTACCCTCTGCAGTCGAAGAACCTCCAGGACCAGCAGCACGCCTCCAGCGCCTGGCAAACCACTCACGTAGCTCCTGTGGGGAGAGTGGCTCTCGGCGAGACGAAGCACCTCCAGGCGGAGCACCCCCAGTCTCAGCACCCCCAGGCTCAGCACCCCCAGGCTCAGCACCCCCAGGCTCAGCACCCCCAGGCTCAGCACCCCCAGGCTCAGCACCCCCAGGCTCAGCACCCCCAGGCTCAGCACCTCCAGACTCCGCACCCCCAGACTCCGCACCCCCAGGCTCAGTACCCTCAGGCGTAGCACCTCTAGTCTCAGCACCCCCAGGCTCAGCTCCCGTTGCAGCACCAGAGTCACCAGTGACCTCGACAGGCTCGACCGCGTCTACCTGGGACACACCTGAAGGGGCAGGACCCTGAGGGGGGAGGGGGTCTACCGGGGGGGGACCTGGTACCAAGAAGAGTGGGGGCGGGGGGAGGGACGGAGTGCGGTAGGGGAAGAGGCGGTAGTAGGGTACCGACTCGTCGAACGTGACGTCCTGGGAGGACAGAACACGTCGAGACGTGGGGTGGTAGAACTGCCACCCAGGGGCGTCGGGGGGGAACCCCAGGAAGACGCAGGGAGCAGCGCGAGGGGACAGCTTGTCCGCAGACAAGTCGCGGACAAACGCCCGAGATCCCCAGACCCGGAACGCCGACGCATCGCCAACCTTCCCCGTCTACAGCAGCGCTGGGGAGGTCTCCGGCCTAAAGACCCTGGGGTGGAGGTTGATCTGATGCGCTGCGTACCTGACCGCAAACGGCCACAGAAAATGGGGGGCAGCCGCATGCATCATGGACGTACGAGCGACGTCCATGACCATGCCAATGCGGCGCTCTGCAATCCCATTTTGCTGCGGGGAGTCCGGAAGCGTGAAGGTCTGGCGGATGCCTCGCGCACGACAGTAGGCACGCAGAAGGCCAGAGGAGAACTCTCCGCCTCTGTCCGAGTGCAGACGCAACACAGGAAAGTCCGAGCCAAAGCTCTGCCTGAGCTGGAGACGAGCTGCGCGGATCCAGTCGATCAGCACCTCAGTGACATCACCCTTGCTGCGCAAGGGGAAGACTGTGGTGTAACGCGAGTAGTCGTCAACCACCAACAGGAAGTAGCGCTCGTTACCGAGTCCACGGACGCGGGCAGGGCCCCACACGTCCATGTGAAACGTCTGCAACGGAGCCTCTGTCGGAGGAAACTGGGAGGAGTGAGGGGCAGCACGCTGGCGCCCCTCGACACAGGGGACACAGGCAGGGCCAGGGCCCTGAGGAAGGGGAGGTAGAGACCGGGGGAGACCAGACACAAGAAGACGGGAGGCCATGCCTCTGAGCCGAAGCAGAGAGGGGTGGCCAAGGCAGAGGTGCCAGAGGAGGGTCTCGTGAGATAGACGGCGACACGAACAGGGGGCAGACTCAGGACCAGACCTGGACGCTGCAGCAAACACCTGACCAGACGAAGGGACTCTACCAGACTCAGCACCTGGAGGAGAAGCAGTGGTCAGTGTGTACAGGCTCGACCCTGGCTGACGTGTAAACGTAGCCAGGTGACGACCCGTGCTAGCCTCCGTGCAGTGCGTCACTCGCTGACTAGCAGGGGTGAACTGGTGGACTCCCGCATCCTGTAGGTCAGCACCACTCACCAAGTTCGTAGAGAACGAGGGGAGGTAGAGACCAGACAGGGTGCCAGAGGGAGCCGCCGGACACGGGAGGACTGTGGAGAAGCGAGACAGGACAGGACCCCCAGAGGGGTCAGCCAAGGAAACCGCAACCGGCCGACTAAGCGGCGTAAGTGTGGTGCGGTCCCGAAAGAAAGAGCGAGACGCTTCAGAGTCAAGAGTGAAGGTGAGGGAGGCCGAAGCCGACGCAGTACCTGAGAGCGCAGTCTCACGAGCACCTGAGAGCACAGACGCACTGGCACCTAGAGCAGAAGCCTCACCGGCACCTGGAGCAGCAGTACCAATGCCCGGGTCGGGCGGGAAACACCGGTAACAGTCACCCTCCTCACTAATGGTCACAGCATACATGGCAGCAAGGATAGCATCAAAATCAAGATCAAAGATAGCTACACCAGCCCTAGACAGCTCTCCCCAGCGGGGGATCTCCGCGGCCTCCGGGAACTGCTGACGCCAAGCGTCCGTCAGGCGGCCAAAGCAGCGCTGGGCGGAGTGGGCACCCCCACACTGCTCTCCAGTGCGGTCGCCAGTGCGGAGAACGTAGGTGCAGGGACCAAAACCCCCACCGCGCTGACGCTGCGTGTACCACTTACGGAGCTGCTGAGGGGTGGGGACGTCGCGAGAACGCTGCTGCTGCTGCTGCTGCTGCTGCTGCTGGCGCTGACCGCCACCAGTGCCGCTCCGCTGCGAAGCTCCACTCCGACCACCTCCACCTCCGCCACCCCCGCCTCCGCCTCCACCGCCCCCGCCTCCACCTCCACCGCCGCCAACTCCGCCACCTCCGCTACCACCGCCACCGCCGCCGCCACTCCCGCCTCCACTGCTGCCACTAGCACCCCCACCCCCGCTACCACCTCCACCGCCACCCCCACTCCCTCCGCCGCCTCCACCTCCACCGCCACCGCCCCCACTGGCCCCACCCGCTCCCTTGCCCCCCTTGCCCTTGCCAGAGCGGCGTCTCCCGCTAGGGGCAGACGCCGCACCGACCGACTCAAGACCAACGAGGTCGGCCGCAGCGGCAGAGGCGACAGAGGGCAGGAGAGGGGAAGGAGAACACCCCTCAAAGATGGGGGCGCGAGGGTCACCTCGAGAGGCTCCTACAGCGACTATGCTCTTCTCTGCTGCAAGGAGGGCCTTCTCTAGGCTGTCGACTGTGAGGGTGGTGGGACAGAATGCGAGGAAGTGGTCCCGGACTACACGAAGGGAGTCAGGGAGGCGAGTGACTAAGAAGTAGAGAGTGATGTACATGGGGGGGGGGTTCTTGGCGCAGAAGTCAGCAGGAAGCGCAGCGCGGTAGCGAGTGTCACTAGTGCGGAGGTGCGTGATGAGATCAGCGACAGTGGGAAAGGCGGCAAGGTCAGGAAAGAGGAAGGGGAGCATGAGGCGGCTCAGTGCAGCAGTGGCAGGGGAGGAGTAGCGCGCAACTACAGCGTCGTACAAGGTCTGGGCACTCTTGTACTGGCTAAAGTGCGCGCGCTCAGCGGTAGGCAAGTGGCGACGCACAGCAAGACGTGCAGCAGCATCGCGCGTGGCCCACTGTGAGCGAACAGTGGCGTCAGCATCAGCAGCAGGGGAAGGGACGGTGCCAGAGGTGAGGTCAAAGAGAGACAGACCGTCCGCCCTATCGCACTGTAAAAACAGCTGCAGGTCGTCTAGCCAGACCTCAAAGTCTATGGCTCGACCCTCAGCGTCAAAAGCGAGGACACTAGGGGTAGCCATGACGACGAGAGTGAAGCAGTGCAAGCAGTAGGGGAAGGGCACGCAGTGAGAGCGGTACAGTGCTCACCGGGCAGGGCAGGTCGGGCGGCTCGGTAGAAAGGCGGCTCGGCTACTCAGCGACTCGGCTCCTGGGCGGCTCGGCTCCCTGGTGGCTCGGCGGTAGGGCGGCTCGGGCGGGGCGGCTCGGCTGCCGGGCGGCTCGGGTGCAGGGCGGCTCGGCTGCACTGCTGCTCGGCGGTACGGCGGCTCGGCTGCTGCAGGTGGGCGGTTCAGCTGCTGCAGTTGGGCGGCTCGGCTGCTGCAGTCGGGCGGCGCGAGAGCAAGGGGCGGCGGGGCCGTGAGTGCTGGGGCGGCGGGGCCGCGAGACCAGGGGCGGCGGGGCCGCGTAGTAGGGGCGGCGGGGCCGGGAGCGCTTGGGGCGGCGGGGCCGCGAGATCAGGGGCGGCGGGGCCGTGAGCGCTGGGGCGGCGGGGCCGCGAGATCAGGGACGGCGGGGCCGTGAGATCAGGGGCGGCGGGGCCGCGTAGTAGGGGCGGCGGGGCCGGGAGCGCTTGGGGCGGCGGGGCCGCGAGATCAGGGGCGGCGGGGCCGTGAGCTCTGGGGCGGCGGGGCCGCGAGATCAGGGACGGCGGGGCCGTGAGATCAGGGGCGGCGGGGCCGGGAGCGCTGGGGCGGCGGGGCCGCGTATCAGGGGCGGCGGGGCCGGGAGCGCCGGGGCGACGGGGCCGCGTATCAGGGGCTGCGGGGCCGGAAGCGCTGGGGCGGCGGGGCCGCGAGATCAGGGGCGGCGAGGGCCGCGCTTTCAGGGTCAGCGGGGCCGCGAGATCAGGGGCGACGGGGCCGCGAGATCAGGGGCGGCGGAGCCGCGTGAGGAAGGGCGGCGAGGGCCGCGAGAGCAGGGCAGCGAGGCCGCTAAGGCGGCGCGAGGGCGGGCAGCGGGGCGCGGGCGCTAAGGCGGCGCTCGGGCTGCTAGGGCGGGCGGCTCGCTAAGGCGGCGCTCGGGCCGTTAGGGCAGATCGAAAAAAAAAAAGTGAGAGCAAGGGCCCGGAGCGCGCTCCGGGCAGAAAAAAAAAAGGTTCGATGTGGTGGGCCCTAAGCAAAGTTCCCACGGGGGAACCTGCTCGATACCATGAGAAAGTTAGAACGAGAATGAAATGACTATGAATGAAGTGAGTACAAATAGGAAACCCTAGTTGGGTTGTACCCCCTATGGGATACCCCACTATAGCCTACACAAATAAGTAAGCTATAACATTCTGACATTACTCACTTCCTCTAGTGTGTTCTCTGTCTTAATGCAGAAGGAGCGGGATGGGGAGCTGGCGACGACCGAGAAGGAATACGGGAAGAGCTCTTACTTTCTCTTGGTAACTATCGTCAATTTCAGCTAGAATTTCCTCTACGTTTTACTAATTTCCTCTTGTGTGTTCTCTGTCTTAATGCAGAAGGAGCGGGATGGGGAGCTGGCGACGACCAAGAAGGAACACGAGAAGAGCTCTCTCTCTCTTGGTAACTATCGTCAATTTCAGCTAGAATTTCCTTTACGTTTTACTAACTTCCTCTTGTGTGTTCTCTGTCTTGATGCAGGAGGAGCGGGATGGGGAGCTGGCGACGACCAAGACGGAACAAGGGGAGATTTCTCCTCCTCTTTGTAAGTATCGTCAATTTCAGCTAGTATGTTCTTTACGTTTTACTAACTTATTCTTGTGTGTTCTTTGTCTTAGTGCAGAAGGAGCGGGATGGGGAGCTGGCGACGACCAAGAAGGAAGACGCGGAGAGCTGTCCCTCTCTTGGTAACTATCGTCAATCTCAGCTAGTATTTTTTTTACGTTTTACTAACTTCCTCTTGTGTGTTTTCTGTCTTAATGCAGAAGGAGCGGGATGGGGAGCTGGCGACGACCAAGAAGGAACACAGTAAGAGCTCTCTCTCTCTTGGTAACTATCGTCAATTTCAGCTAGAATCTCCTTAACGTTTTACTAACTTCCTCTTGTGTGTTCTCTGTCTTAATGCAGAAGGAGCGGGATGGAAGGTTGGCGACGACCAAGAAGGAACACGGGAAGATTTCTCCTTCTCTTTGTAAGTATCGTCAATTTCAGCTAGTATGTTCTTTACGGTTTACTTATTCTTGTGTGTTCTCTGTCTTAGTGCAGAAGGAGCGGGATGGGGAGCTGGCGACGACCAAGAAGGAAGACGCGGAGAGCTCTCCCTCTCTTGGTAACTATCGTCGATTTCAGCTAGTATGTATTTTACGTTTTACTAACTTATTCTTGTGTGTTCTCTGTTTTAATGCAGAAGGAGCGGGATGGATGGCTGGCGACGAGCAAGAAGGAACACCGTGAGATCTCTCCCTCTCTTCGTAAGTCTCGTCAATTTAAGGTAGTATGTTATTTCCGATTTAGTAGTTTATTCTTGTGTGTTCTCTGTCTTAGTGCAGAAGGAGAGGGATGGGAGCTGGCGACAAGGGAGGTCAAGAAGAAATGAACGCTTTCCCTATCCTGGTAAGCACGGTCCGATTCCGTTCGCTTTTTCTTCTTTCCAGATTTCTAACTTCGAGTTTCGTGCCTCTTGTGAACCAGGAGCGGGAGGAACGCGTGGCAACAGCGTGAAGGTAAAGAAGAAGAGAACGCTCTCCTTCTCCTGGTAAGCACGGTCTTATTTCGTTCGTTACTTCTTTTTCGAGATTTCTAACTTCGAGTTTCGTGGCTTGTGAAGCAGGAGCGGGATGAGGAGCAGCACGTGGCAACAGCGGGAGGAAGAAGAATCATTCTCCTTGTCCTGGTAAGCATGGTCTGCTATCTTTCGTTTCTTCTATTTCGAGATTTCTAACTTCGAGTTGGTGTCTTTCGCGCAGGAGCGGGCGGAGGAGGAGCGCAGGCAACACCTGGAGCGGAATGGGGAGGTACCACGCGGAGAGCTCTCCCTCTCTCCGCAAGTATCGTCAGTTTCAGTAAGTGTTCTGTTTATGTTTTACTGTACTAAGTATTCTTTGTGTTCTGTCTTGGTGCAGAAGGAGCGGGACTCGGAGCTGACGGCGAGCAAGGGGGTGACGGAATGGTTCGGCTCTGCTGGTAAGGGCGTGTGAGGTCTTTGTAGAAGTTCAAAATAAAGTTCGAACTTTGGGTGGTTACCCTATTCGCTAATTTCACGAAGGGTGCTTCGGGAACCAAGCATTGTATGGGCTTTGCAAAAGTTCGAGTTTGAAATATGAACTTGACTCGAGTCGGAGGCGGGAACGTGCGTGCGCACGTTCATGCGAGCGTGTGTGATTTGCAGCACGTCCGAACAGCTGGCGAAACTGGCGAGTGCTTCGCCAATGCATAAAGTTGCACAACGAAGACACCCCACAATTCGTGCACACAGTGGTAGCCACGTGTCCAGCATCGTGGCATGTTCGAGCACGATGTGGCAACGCGTCCCGCCCGTCTTGACGTCAGTCAAAGAAACTCCCGCCCTTGGCCAATCCACGTCCCCCGCACCAAATGTCTTTGAAATCCTGTGGGAGTGGAAGGCACTTGATACATTCAAATATACCACCCTTCTCCAACACTTGTGTACTGTATACGCAAATTCCATTCGACATGACAAACGGCAACACTAGCGCCCATGGCTCTGCCACACCGGCAGATGCTACCACTCCAACAGCCTCTACTCCCGCATCTGTCGCTGCACCGGTCCGCGCACCCGCACCTCAGCGGCGTCGGCGTACTGCTGTTGATCTGGCCGCTTCGTGGCGCCTTGGAGTTATCGACCTGGACGATATCGTGGCGCGTGTGCAGAACGGGAACACTCCTCTAGGTGCTGACGACGACACCCTCGCGTACTTCGACGGAGGCGAAATCGACTGCCATGGCGAAGACGGCGCCGACGACGACGCCGATGCAGCGACGCCCATCGACAAAAAAGGGTGGGAGCCGGCGGAAGTCATGCAGCTGGCGTGGATCCGCCACGACTTCGACGAGCAATATCAGAATCTGTGCCGCCTGCAAGGCCAGAACCGGGACGTCATGCTCTACGAGCAAGTCCGTCTTCGTCACCCCGGATGGCGCCATGGTCTCGCAGCCACGAAAGCCAAGGTTTTCCGTATGGAGGCTCAGTGGCGGAACGTGTCGGATTTATTGCTAAAACCTTCCGGGAAGGGGAAGCCCCCTAAAATGCCTATTTTCTATGACATATTCGACAGGTTCCTAGGGGATCGGGCGAATGCGCGTCCCCCGGCGCTCGCGGGCCCCTTGATTCCCGCAACTACTACCGCGCCTCCTCCTAGTAAGTGTTGATTGTTGTTTGATGTGATCCTTTTTTTTTACTGCTCATAATTTAAGATTGATGCTACTAATACAACCATTCAACAAGGTGGCATGTAATAATGAAACCACCCAACACCCCCATATGCGACGCCCATCACCGGCAGATGTGGCGTCTCCTACCACCGCATCAGCGGTGTCTGCAGGGCCCGATGGCGTAGCGGCATCAGCAAGCCGAGCGCAGTCGGCTCGTCGCTCACCCAATCCCCGCCGAGTGACGGCTTCGCCTGGTCACTCTCCTTCGCGCCAGCCATTTTCGTCTCCGTCTACGTCTGCGCTTGCGCCGGACGTGTCCCCCGCCGCTGCCACCGCCACTGCATCTCCATCCCGTTCACACGTCGTCGGCGCGAACGCGGGTGTTGCGCTCCGTGGCCGCGGTGTCTCCCGCCGGCCTGGGCCTGCGGCTGCCGAAGAGGAACATTCGGGCAACGACACAATGGGAGGTGGTGTTGGTAACCACATGAACTCAAGTGATTCAGTGCTGTGTGCTGAAATAGCGGGGATAATTGCGCAATCGGTAAAAGGGGCTATGCGGGACCAATTTGATGAGTTTTTAGAACGTACCCAAGAGATGGTTGAGAGAGCTCAGGATGCCCGAGCCTCCAGGAAGCGTAGAAGTACGCCGCCAGGCGAGATCGACGACGAGTCGGAGTAAAGCCCGCATCGCGCGACGAGAAATGCGGGGCCTCCGCAACGGGTCCTTCCAGCCACCAAGTGTTGCGCTCATGAGGTTCGTTCAGGCGGTGACGGAAACCGAGGATGAGGTCGATGTTGTGAAGCACGATGCAGGCGGATACGACCTGCGGGGCGCGGATGACATCGCACTCGAGGCGCCCGTCCAGGATGCGCCATTTGGTCTTCAGCCTCCCGTTCACTTGCTCCACAATCATTCGAGTGCGGGACTGCTGGAGGTTCCAGACTCGCTGATGGTCGGGAAGTGCGATGCCGGGAAGGGCATGATAGGGTGTGTAGATGTAGGGCCTCAATCCATAGGCAGCGTCCGCTACTAGCGTGTAGTCCAAAATCCCTCCTTCTTCAATTTTAGTTCTTGCAGGGCTGTTCATGAAAACCCGAGCGTCGTTGACGCTTCCGGGATATCCTACAAAAAAGTCCCAGATGAGACCCATGCTGTCGCAGATTAGTTGGCAAATAATAGAAAAGAAACCTTTCCTATTTCTGAAGTCTTCGCAATGTGGTCCCATGCCACGGCAGTGTATGTAGGTCCCGTCCATGGCGCCTACCACCCCAGGTATTCCGGCTTGAAGGCGAAACTCTGTCTCAAACAACTGCAGCATGTCCATGTCTGGCCACACGACCCACTTGGGCAGGACTTCGTTGACGAAAAAAAACGAACCTCGCAAACAGCTTGTGGGCGTGGGAGAAAGAGTAGCCGAAGTGAAGCCCAATTTCGCAAAATGTGAGACCATGCCCAAGCCTGCTAAGTCCCATGGCGACGAATACAAAGTTATGCACAGGATGCTTAAGTGTAGCGAAACGGCTGCGCTAATACTGGCGCACTAAGTACACGAAAACGCGTTTGTCAACCCGCAAATACTCATAGAAAGTGTACTCGGGCAGGGATGTTATCAGTCGAAACCAACGCACACGTGCGTCAAGGCGGTCGCCAAGCACGAACACCCGGGTCTGCCTGAGAGTGAAGGCCGAGACGAGCGTGGGGAGTGCCGTGCCAACAGCGTTGAGAACAGGAAGCATCACCATCTGCAAGTACCCTTGCCATACGATGCCGAGAAAGCGGACCAGCTGTAGGGTTGTCATGTTGGGCGAACGACGAGTATACAAGGTGTTGCCACGGGGGCTATTTGTACCGTGGTTACACACTCGGCGCGGAAGGTGAGTTGGAGCTCTAGGTCTTTGTAAACCGAGGCGCAAAATGTTGACGTGGCGCACTGTCAAGACTCTCGAACCGGGTAACCTATGATGTTGATGTGTGGCTCGGCTCGTTTTTGCAAGTTTGAATGTCGGGGTTCGACCTTGTATGTGTGTGTGATTTTTTACAGTGTGGTAAGCCCGATGTTCGAACTTCGATAGAAGGAAATTCGAACTTCTTTCGTTGTAAGTTCGAAACTAAAATTCGCCCTAAAAACATAAACTTTTACAAATTTCAAAGACCTCACACGCCCTAAATCCCGTCAGTGTTTACCTCGTTTCCGGTCATCAGTCTTCTGTTTTTGCCCTTTAGCGAGATCTGTTACCTAATGTTTTTTTCCTTGCCCTTCCGTGAGCAGGAGCAGGAGCAACACCTAGGGTGGGCGGGGGAGGTAACGGGGCTCTCCCTCTACTGGGAAGTTTTGTCAATTTCAGCTGTATTTTCGTTTACGTTTTACTAAGTTCCTCTCTTGTGTTCTGTCTTTGTGCAGAAGGAGCTCCATGGGGAGCTGGCGGCGAGCAAGGGGATAAACTGAGTGGTCTCCCTTTTCCTAGTAAGTTCCGTCAATTTCAATTTCGTTCTTCCTTATCAAAACACTAACGTTCTCCCTTGGTTTTGGTTTGTGGCAGGAGTGTGAGCAGGCGGAGAGCGCGGAGAGGGAAGCCGCGCGCCTCGATGGAGCAAGGAGCTTGGAGCGGCAAGCTTGGAGCAACCAGCCGTGTAAGTGGGTCTGGGCCCTGGCCCCCTGGGTGGTTAGGTCTACGTTAGGAGCGTTAGTCAGAACGTTTAGGAGCGTTAGTCAGATCGTTAGGCTCGAATTAGGCCTAGCTAGGGGACGAGTTAGCCTTAGCTAGGCTCGGATCTGGTTGCGGTCTAGTCTAGACCTAGGCTCGAACTAGCTAGGACGTTAGGTTCGGACGGTCAGGTGTGGTTGGGCGTGGTTGGGTTTGGTTAGGGCTGTCTTTGATCTTCCCTCTCTTCCTTACGGTGGTCAACATGGCGGGAACTCGCTGCCCTGTATATAATCTTAACCGTTCCCCCTCCTTTCTGCCCTGTAAATAAGTCCCCTCCCTCCCAGACAGACCCCGAACGAATGGCCCTAGACCAAGTACCAAGAAAGACAAGAAGACTAAGAACCAAGAAAGACAAGCTGTGGATCCGCACTGCAGATGCGGTGGTTGACACTTAGGGGATCTTAGGGTGCATTCCTGGCTCGTGGCAGGGCCACTGTAGATGGCAGCCTGCCACGAACACATAAAACGCCAGGTTGGTGTCAGGAATTTTGGCGCGCAAATACAGGTGCGTGATTGGGCAATGTCCCAAAAATGTCATGTCAATTCCACCAAAATCGTGTCGCGCGCGACTCGGGCAAAATGTTGGTGGCATGCGGTTTTCCCGCATGCCACCAACAGTGCCTGCTACAGTGGCCCTGCCACGAACCAGGAATGCACCCTTAGAAGTTATTTGTAATCACTTGTAGCTCTGTAATCAGATGTATAAGTATCTCTGTTCTTTACGACGAAGTGACTTTGCTTGGTAGACGAATACGTAAGGAAATGAAACGAAAACTAAACCTTTTCCTCTGGCTGTGGAGAAAACAAACCTTGGTGAAGTTCAGGCAGCCACACAAGCATTGTCTCCCGATTGTACGTTAGGGTGCATTCGTGGCCCGGGTCAGAATTCAGGTCAAAAGCCCTTACAAACGTTAGTCTCCAATTTGGCTCATCCGAACTCGGATTTGCCTCACAAACGAGCCACTTCGGGTCTTCCGAGCTTCCACTTCGGGTCTGACCTGAGTCTGACACAGGCTACGAATGGGCCCTTAGTCGCGGAAGTGACAATCAGCTTTAGGATCAACGTCAATGTTTGGCCGTCGTTCCACTGAACTCTTTACCGTTCTCTACCGTATTACGCTGACTACTACTGACGATTTCTTTTTGCGATCACAAGGCGATTGAGAAGGCTAAATACATCGACGGAAAACAAACTTGTCACTCATCCTGCTCACGATCACACGGGATTCTTCGTGGGACGGTTCTGTCTGTCTGCACCAATTTCCCTGTGCGAATTACCTCGCAGGTTGTGAGAATCGAGCCAGGGAGTGGTGGTGAGGTGACGAGAAGCCTCCCTCTGATGGTGCTGCTGTATATCATGGTCACTTACGAATTCCATTAGGCCTTTCGTTCATTTCCGGCGAACACCGCACCGCACCACCATGTCTCTCGCTGTTATCGTCGTCTCGCTCCTCTTGCTCCGCGGCGCATCGCAGCCGTCCGTCATGGCGCAGATGCCCGACGTCATGCCACGTGGGCAGATCGGCGGCGAGGCGGGTATCGAGCGAGCCATGTCTCTTTTCCGCGTGAGTTCTCGCTCCCTCGCTCGCTCCCGTCTGCACACAGCTCCTCGCGCCGCTCTCCGCGCTCCGCGCTACTCCGTCCTCGCGTCACGCTCTCTCGTCACCTCAACTCATCTCCTCACACCCTTCGTCTTGATCCCTCAGATATGGGAGGACGCGTACGGGCTGAAACCCGACGTCCACATGCCGCCCGCACGCTCCCATTCCCTTCCCCTCACGCTTCCATTCCCTTCGCACCCCGTCTTTTCTGATCCGTCAGATATGGGAGGAGGCCTATGGATTGAAACCCGACGTTCACTTGCCGCCCGCGAAAATCACCTTGCCGGCCATCGTGCCGCGCGCGCCGCACCTGGAGGACTGCGAGGCGCTGACGGCGGCGAGGAAGGAGTCGGAGCGACGCGGAGGGGACGGGGAGCCTCCCCTGTGGGCGCGGGCTGTGAATAACTGCTCGGAATGCAACCCCCAACCACCATGGGTACTATGGCTACTATGGCACCACATAGACTAGGGTGTAAGCGAGACAATGGTGTAGGGAAGGCAATTAGTAGATTTCCTCTCCAACTACTCATCACCATCCCCTGCCCACCCCCTCCCAACCCCCAGGTGTGCGTGTCCGATGCGGGCAATCTACCGCTGACGCGTGTGGTGCAGTGGGACCTGTGGTGGGAGCACCAGCTGTTTCCCCTGCCATTTTCTCTTCCATGTCTCTTCCCACCCCACCTCCCCTCGCGCCTGCCTTCCCCCCAACCAGGTGCGCAGGTCCGATGCGGACAATCTACCGCTGACGCGAGTGGCACAGCGGGACCTGTGGGAGCACCAGCTGCTTCCCCCGCCTCCTCCCAATCTCTCTCTCCCCACGGCTCTCCCCACCTCCCCTCGCGCCTGCCTTCCCCCCAACCAACCAGGTGCGCGGATCGGATGCAGACAATCTACCGCTGACGCGGGTGGTGCAGAGGGATCTGTGGGAGCACCAGCTGTTCCACGGCAGCTGCGACGGCAGGCGCCTGCTCGTCGTGCCGTGGCCCACCAAGACCCACCACGGCGTGGGGTCACAGGTGGGAGAGGGCGACTTTTAAGACGTCTCAAAAGTCGGAATCTGTGGAGGCACCAGCTCGCAGGTAGAAGAGGAAGAGGGCGGGGCTTATGGAAGGTACCGTGAGAGTCGGAAAGAAAAGAGTGATTTGGCTGCTAGGTGGGTATTGGGGGGCTTGCTAACGAGAGTCGGGGTGCTCGCAGGTAAGAGGGGCTCCCTCACTGGTCAGTGGGTTTCCTCCCTCCGTTTCTTGCACCCACCCACCCACCGGCACCACCAGATACACGTGATGAGCACGTTTCTGAGCCAGGCCTTTTTTGCCATCATTACCCCCATCGTTACCCCCATCATTACCCCCATCAATGCCCACCAGATACACGTGATGAGCACGTTTCTGAGCCAGGCCTTTTTTGCCATCATTACCCCCATCGTTACCCCCATCATTACCCCCATCAATGCCCACCAGATACACGTGATGAGCACGTTTCTGAGCCTGGCCTTGAGTCACAACCGCAAACTCCCTTCTCTCCTGCTTGCCTCCCTTGCATCATTACCCCCATCATTACCCATCAGATACACGTGATGAGCACGTTTCTGAGCCTGGCCTTGAGTCACAACCGCAAACTCCCTTCTCTCCTGCTTGCCTCCCTTGCATCATTACCCCCATCATTACCCATCAGATACACGTGATGAGCACTTTCCTGAGCCTGGCCTTGAGTCACAACCGCACATTCCCTTCTCTCCCGCCTCCCTCCCTTGCACCCACCCACCGGCACCATCAGATACACGTGATGAGCACTTTCCTGAGCCTGGCCTTGAGTCACAACCGCACACTCGTGCCCGCGCCTGGCTCGTACGACCGAGCATTCACTGAGACATGCAATTGTGAGCTCTACGTGTAGCTTGTTTGTACTAAGCCCGCCTGGATTTGTTGAGGCGCCTTAATATTCGTGCCCACACCGAGACATGCAATTGTGAGTGCCACGCCCAGCTTATCAAGACATACAATTGTGAGGTTGCAGGTACGCCCAGCTTATACTCAGCCTGCTTTTGTGCGCGCCTGCGACCAGGTTGTTCTTGAGAATCCGCAGAAACCAACTTGTCTCAATTGTGAGCTCAACCTCTTCCTTTTGAGACGTCTCAAAACACTTCTTCAATTGTGACCTCAACCACTTCCTTTTGAGACGTCTCAAAACACTTCTTCAATTGTGACCTCAACCACTTCCTTTTGAGACGTCTCAAAACACTTCTTCAATTGTGACCTCAACCACTTCCTTTTGAGACGTCTCAAAACACTTCTTCAATTGTGACCTCAACCACTTCCTTTTGAGACGTCTCAAAACACTTCTTCAATTGTGACCTCAACCACTTCCTTTTGAGACGTCTCAAAACACTTCTTCAATTGTGACCTCAACCACTTCCTTTTGAGACGTCTCAAAACACTTCTTCAATTGTGACCTCAACCACTTCCTTTTGAGACGTCTCAAAACACTTCTTCAATTGTGACCTCAACCACTTCCTTTTGAGACGTCTCAAAACACTTCTTCAATTGTGACCTCAACCACTTCCTTTTGAGACGTCTCAAAACACTTCTTCAATTGTGACCTCAACCACTTCCTTTTGAGACGTCTCAAAACACTTCTTCAATTGTGACCTCAACCACTTCCTTTTGAGACGTCTCAAAACACTTCTTCAATTGTGACCTCAACCACTTCCTTTTGAGACGTCTCAAAACACTTCTTCAATTGTGACCTCAACCACTTCCTTTTGAGACGTCTCAAAACACTTCTTCAATTGTGACCTCAACCACTTCCTTTTGAGACGTCTCAAAACACTTCTTCAATTGTGACCTCAACCACTTCCTTTTGAGACGTCTCAAAACACTTCTTCAATTGTGACCTCAACCACTTCCTTTTGAGACGTCTCAAAACACTTCTTCAATTGTGACCTCAACCACTTCCTTTTCCTACCATGCTCAACCGCCTCCATTTCTCACACCCACTCCCCATTTCCCACCCACCACCCCCATGCCCCCCTGCTCCCCCTCCCCCCTTCCTTTCCCCCAGCCACCAGCACGGGCGGGGCGTGGGGTTGCTACTTCTTCCCCATAGTGAATCCCGACTGTGAGCGCGTGGTATCGGGTATGACAGCCAGCAGCACCATGCCCTCCGTGCTCCCCACCCACTCCCACTCCCCACTCCCCTTCCCCTTGTCTTTCCCAGCCACAAAGACAGGTGGGGCGTGGGGTTGCTACTTCTTCCCCATAGTGAATCCCGACTGTGAGCGCGTGGTCTCGGATATGACAGCCAGCAGCACCATGCCCTCCGTGCTCCCCACCCACTCCCACTCCCCACTCCCCTTCCCCTTGTCTTTCCCAGCCACAAAGACAGGTGGGGCGTGGGGTTGCTACTTCTTCCCCATAGTGAATCCCGACTGTGAGCGCGTGGTCTCGGGTATGACAGCCAGCAGCACCATGCCCTCCGTGCTCCCCACCCACTCCCACTCCCCACTCCCCTTCCCCTTGTCTTTCCCAGCCACAAAGACAGGTGGGGCGTGGGGTTGCTACTTCTTCCCCATAGTGAATCCCGACTGTGAGCGCGTGGTATCGGATATGACAGCCAGCAGCACCATGCCCTCCGTGCTCCCCACCCACTCCCACTCCCCACTCCCCTTCCCCTTGTCTTTCCCAGCCACAAAGACAGGTGGGGCGTGGGGTTGCTACTTCTTCCCCATAGTGAATCCCGACTGTGAGCGCGTGGTCTCGGATATGACAGCCAGCAGCACCATGCCCCCTCTCTCCTCTGACAAAGTGGGCCACAATCGCCTCGCTGCCTCGGGCGACCTTGTGGTGCATCTCAACGCCAGCTGCGACAGCCAGATGAAGCTTGAGGCGCGTGCTGCTAAGTAAGTTGTAGGAGGATGGGGAAGGAAAGGAATAGATGATTTTTTATCGACTCACAAGGCTGCCTTGGCCGACCCTGTGGTGTATCTCAACGTCAGCTGCGACAGCCAGATGAAGTTTGAGGCGCGTGCTGCTAAGTAAGTTGTAGAGGGGGGAAAGGGGGGAGGAAGGGGAAGTGGGAAGGGGAATGGCTAACTTCTGAGTCGACCCAAAAGCTTGAAGCCCGTGCTGCCACGTGCGTGTGAGGGGGAAAGGGGTGAAGGGGCTGACCTTTGAGTCGACTCAAAAAGGAAAGGCAGGGCCACAATCGCCTGCCTGCCTAGACCGACCCTGTGGTTCATCTCAACGCCAGCTGCGACAGCCAGATGAAGCTTGAGGCGCGTGCGGCCACGTGCGTGTGAGGGGAAGGGGAAGGGGGGAAGGGGGGGAAGGGGAAAGGGGATGGGAAACGTTGAAGGGAAGGGGAACGGGACGGGGAAGGCACAGGGGGAAGGGGAAAGGGAGGAGGGGAGGGTGCAGGGAATGTGGGGTGGGCGCATGGCTCCTGAAGGTCGCCAGTGAGAGGGTTATGAGGCCTGGGCGGGCTGATGATTTAAGGTTGTGTTTTTGAGACGTCTCAAAAATACTCTTTTTACACGTGGCCAGTGAGAGGGTTATGAGGCCTGGGCGGGCTGATGATTTAAGGTTGTGGCGAGGTGAAGGGGGTGAGGAGGTGAAGGGGGTGATGAGGTGAAGGGGGTGAGGAGGTGTGTGAGATGTGGAAGGGGTGAGAAGGTGTGAAGAGTGCAGGGAATGTGGGGTAAGGAGCGGGAGAGGGGTGAGATGGTTATGAGGCCTGGGCTGGCTAATGATTCAGGGTTGTGGGGAGGTGAAGGGAGTTAGGTGTGTGTGGGACCCACGTGTCAGGAGGGCATACATTCGCGTCCTCTCTTCCCTCGTACCTCGTCCCTTCACTCCCTCTTCCCGCTTCTCCCGCTCCTTACCTCTGCCACTCACTCTCCATGCTCCTATTTGCTTCCCAACCTCAAAGCCCCACCTAGCCCCCCACCCCACCCTCCACCGCCCCAGGCTATGGGGCGATGCGTACGCGAGGGCCCCGAATGTGGTGGATTACACTCATTCGGGGAGCAGCCGCACGTTGACACCCAACATCGATGGTGCGACTCTTGAGGCGCCTTAAAGGCCCCAACCCCGTCCCCCGCTCCCGCCCCCCACTTCCCCAGGCTATGGGGCGATGCGTTCGCGAGGGCCCCGAATGTGGTGGAGTATATGGGGGAGCAGCCGCCTGCTGAGACCAATCACCCCGTGGTGCGTTCGTGTGTGCGCTCGCTTTCTCATGGGAGTGGTTGTACAAATGAATCCGCATGGTACACAGTGACTTGCGAGTCGACTCAGTACTCACCCGAATGTGGTGGAGGGAGTATATGGGGGAGCAGCCGCCTGCTGAGACCAATCACCCCGTGGTGCGTGCGTGTGTGCGCTCGCTTTCTCATGGGAGTGGTTGTACAAATGAATCCGCATGGTACACAGTGACTTGCGAGTCGACTCAGTACTCACCCGAATGTGGTGGAGGGAGTATATGGGGGAGCAGCCGCCTGCTGAGACCAATCACCCCGTGGTGCGTGCAAATGCGCTCACTTGTGGGTTTGGTGTTTTGGGTCGACTCAAAACATGGGGGAGTAACCGCAAGCTGACGACAAACACCCGATGGTGCGTGCGTGTGTGTGCGCTTGCTTGCGTTTCTTGAGACGTCTCAAAACTCCCCCTACCCCTCACCTCTCGCCTACATCCCCCCTACCCCTCACCTCCTCTCTTGGCAGATGGTGAACTGGTGGCGACCCCAGTCGACCCCAGTCGACCCCAGTCAACCCCAGTCCACCCCAGTCCACCCCAGTCCACCCCAGTCGACCCCAGTCGACCCCAGTCGACCCCAGTCAACCCCAGTCCACCCCAGTCCACCCCAGTCCACCCCAGTCAACCCCAGTCCACCCCAGTCAACCCCAGTCCACCCCAGTCAACCCCAGTCCACCCCAGTCACCTCCACTCCTCGTCTTACCCCTCCCCTGCATGCCCCCACACCTTGCAGGTGCACTGGTGGCGATCCCAGTTGGCGCGCTTCATAACGCGCTGGTTGGCGGTGACGCGCTGGTTGGCGGTGTGGCGCCCACACCGCGTCTCACCTCTCGCGCTACCCCCTCCCCTCCTCTCCCTCTCCCTCTCTCCCTTCCCTCCCGCTCTCCCTCCTCTCAATTCCTCCCCCTACCCCTCCCCTCCTCGCCTGGCTGTCAGGTGCACTGGTGGCGATCCCAGTCAACGCGCTTCATGCTGCGCTGGCCCTCACTTCACACGTGCCACGCCACCAACAAGGAGCGCCACACCGCCTACGGCCTCCACACCACGTCTCACTCCTCCCCCTACCCCTCCCCTCCTCGCCTATCAGGTGCACTGGTGGCGATCCCAGTCAACACGCTTCATGCTGCGCTGGCCCTCCCCTCACACGTGCCACCAAATCAACAAGGAGCGCCACACCGCCTACGGCCTCCTCACCGCATCCCACCTCTCGCGCTACACCGAAACCCAGACCGAGATCCTCCGGGCCGTCGCAGGCAATACATCCGAGTCACCCGAATCCAAGAAACTTTCCGAGATTTCCGCGGGCCCTCCGGGACCCATTGAATCGCAAGTCTGGACCGTCCGGGGGTTCGCGGGGTGTAAAGAGACCTGCATGAGTGCTGCAGATGCCAAGGCGATAAAGGAGACGTACGCATCGTTGGGAGGGGAGCCGTTTGTGATGCGGCCGATCGTGAGTGTGCACGTGCGGCAGAGCGACAAAGGGACTGAGATGCGCCTGTCGCCGCTCGCCACGCACATGTTCTTTGTGCATCGGCTGCGCCGCCACGTGCCGGACCTGCGACACGTGTGGCTCAACACCGAGATGGAGGTGCGTTGTGAGTGGACTCCAAGGCTTGCACGTGCGGCAGAGTGACAAGGGCACAGTGATGCGCCTGTCGTCGCTCGCCACGCACATGTTCTTTGTGCACCGAGGTGTATTTTGAAGCGCCTCAAAATACACCTCAATGTCGCCGCTTGCCACACTCATGCTCTTTGTGCACCGGCTGCGGCGCCACGTGCCGGACCTGCGACACGTGTGGCTCAATACGGAAATGGAGGTGCGTGCGTGGGGCAATGGATGCTTTGAGAGGTGCGTGGAGATGTGTCTGTCGCCGCTCGCGACGCACATGTTCTTTGTGCACCGGCTGCGGCGCCACGTGCCGGACCTGCGATACGTGGGGCTCAATACAGAGATGGAGGTGTGTGGGGCAACGAATGCTTGCCTTGCCCATGCCTTCTACTCCTCCACCTCTTTATCGCTTGCCAATGGCGTTGCTTGTCTTCCCTAACTCACCACGATCCGCCTCTCTGCCTGCTTTTCCTCCAGCGTAAACCTTCCTTCCTTCCTTCCTTCTCTCCCACCACCCACCTCTCAGTCCGTGGTCAGGGAATCTGCCTTGTACCTCGAATGGAAGTTCCTCCACTCCTCCAACTCGCTTGTTTTTGAGTCGACTAACAGGCCTTCCTTCCTTCCTTCCTTCTCTCCCACCCGCCCTACAGTCCGTGATTAGAGAATCAGCCTTGTACCTCGAATGGAAGTTCCTCTACTCCTCCAACTCGCGCCAGCCCGTGGACTCCAGGTCAAGCCGCAAGTATGAGATGTCTCAAAACTCTCAAACCATTCTTCCGTCCTTCCTTCTCTCCCACCCGCCATCCAGTCTGTGATTAAGGAATCAGCCTTGTACGCGGACTGGAAGTTCCTTTACTCATCCAACTCGCGCCAGCCCGTGGACTCCAGGTCGAGCCGAGAATACGAGCTCAAGCAGTCAGTCGCAGCGAGTTTCGCAAGCGTTATCATCGCGTCGCAGTGCGACTACTTTGTGGGTGCGCTCGGGTCTAACTGGAGCCGACTAATAAACGAACTGCGGTCAACGAACGGGAGGTTGCTCAGCGGATTTTATACAGTCAACATGGGGGACTGGTAGCTGCACTCTCTTCTACTGTTGCAGCCTTTTGAAGCACCTCAATCAAAAGCCGCTGTTATCGCATCTCAGTGCGACTACTTTGTGGGTGCGCTCGGGTCTAACTGGAGCAGATTGATTAAGGAGCTGCGCTCGACGAATGGGAGGTTGCTCAGCGGCTTTTATATAGTCAACATGGGTGACTGGTATCCGCACCCTGATAACTACTTTGCAGCTGATAAGTCAATTTTTGAGTCGACTAAAAAATCTACTGTTGCAGCTGCACACCCGCTCGTGGCAACCATTCAGGAGGGGACATGGGCATGAGTGTGCACAGCCAGGAAAGGTAATTCAGGCCGTGTGACCACACGTAGTTCATGCACACCCTCCCTCTAGTGTGACTACGCATACTTCTTTTGAGGCGCCTCAAAAATCGCCTCAGGCCGTGTGACCACGCATAGTTCCTCGCACCGATACTATTTCAGACCATAGCTTACAACAGTCAAGGGTTTAGGGCCACTCATCGCGTTTCCGGCTTTCCCGTTTCCGTCTTTCGTGTTTCCTCCATTCCTCAATCTCTCTATTCCTGGCTTCCTTCCACCACGTCATCCTAGCCTTCCCCTTGCCTTCGTTCTTGCTTTCGCAACACGTCACTTGCCATTTCCTCCGAAAGTGCATGCTATCTAATGCTCGTTCTCCCTCCATCATTTCTTACTGTTCTATCATCCTCATCCCCTCCCTCTCGCCCTTCCTCATTTTCTCCCGTCCGCCCTTCCTCATCACCCGTTCCCTGTTCCTTATGTTACTCCTGTTCTCCCTTCCATCATTTCCTCCCGTTTATTGCAGCAGCAACACTCCCTACTGCCACACCATCAGCACAAGCCCAAGCAGGGAATGGTCACTCCCAGCAGCCACACATGTGGCATGGTGTCATGTGTATGTTTTTTGAGAAATCTCAAAAAACATACAAGGCACACATCTGGCAGGTTGTCATGCACTCTTGCTGCTTACGTAATATATGATTTGTGCAATACGATACTGTTAATCTAGTCATGCCATGCTTGCTAATTTAACATTCTGGTAAAGCTGGCAACACTCCCATAGGGCAAATGCTTGCTAGCTTCTGGGCACATAGCATGATATACGAGTCATGCACTCTTGATGCTAGGAACTTTGGTGTACTGCTGTCATAATTGCTATAGCAACACACCCTACCAGTCACATCTTCAGCACGTTGCCAGCGGGGTCGCTGCCAGGTTTAGGTCTGGCATAGTGTAGGTAGGAGTCGTGCACTCTGCATGCTAGTGACTGACTGGGTTACTAGGAAGAGTTGTTGGGTGTGCGCTTGTCATATTCGCTGCAGCCACGCACACCCTACTATTCACTCCGTACAGTCACATCTTCAGTATGAGCCCCAGGGGGCAGTGGTCGCTGCCAGGCACATCTGGCATGGTGTATGAGTCGTGCACTCTTGATGCTAGCGACTGCGACACAAGAAAGTAATCCAGGCGCCAACCTGGTGAGATGCCAAGGGTTGGGAAGAGAGGGGCGAACAAGGGAAATGAGATATCAGCATCTCATGGTGTATGAGTCGTGCACTCTTGATGCTAGCGACTGCGACACAAGAAATTAATCCAGGCGCCAACCTGGTGAGATGCCAAGGGTTGGGAAGAGAGGGGCGAACAAGGGAAATGAGATATCAGCATAGTCGTGCACATTTGATGCTAGTAACTGGGACACCAGAAAGTAATCCAAACGCCATCCTGGTGAAAGGCGCAGAGGTAAGTGGGTTGGGGAATAGAGGGGCCAAAAAAAGAAATCACAAATCAGCGTCTCAAGGTGTATGTATGAGTCGTGCATAGTTGGTGCTAGCGACTGGGACACAAGAAAATAGTCTCGGTCACCATCCGGTTTTGAGTCGCCTCAAAAGTAGTCCAGGTCACTACCATCCAGTCAAAACGTATTTCCCGAACCAGTGTGCGTGCAAGCGAGTATGTAAGTGCATGAGAGCGTGGGTGTGAGCCTGAGTGAGAGAGTGTGACTGATTGCCACGTACCTCTGTTAGCAGGTCTTGCTTTCGACCGGTACCCCCAGTAGGTATACGTCACTGCATTGGGATGCTGACTGCGAAACGTATCCACCAAACCACGTTCCTTGCCTCTTCCCCCCTCATCTCCACCCTCCCCTTTCACCTCCTCTTCCCCCTTCTTCCCTCCACTTCCATTCTCACCCTTCTCTCCTCCCTCTCCTCCCTCTCCCCCTTTCCCCTCCTCTCCCCCCTCTTCCCCTTCCCAGGGCACGCCCAGCAGGTTAGCTGCAAACGACGCCCGCTCCTCATCGGTAAACCCCGAGCTCCTGCGGTTGCCCTCGGGGTGGAAAATGTCGATCTCCCCAAACGCACAGTTCAGGTCACCAGTCACAACCACCGGCTTCTGCTTCTCCAGTTCCTGGAATGGAGGGATTCGAAATCGTGAGGGGGAGACAGAGGAGAGGAGAGAGAGTGAGCTCCGTGGGTTGCCCTCAGGGTGGAAAGATGTCAATCTCCCCGAACGCACAGTTGAGGTCTCCGGTGACAATCACCGGCTTCTGGTGCTCCAGCTCCTGGAATGGCACATCACAACAGAGGGAGAAACATAGACGGAGTGAGGGAAGGGGCTGGTTGGAAGGGAGTGAATCCCGAGCTCCTCCAATTGCCCTCGGGGTGAAAGACGTCAATCTCCCCGAACGCACAGTTCAGGTCACCCGTCACAACCACTGGCTTCTGCTTCTCCAGTTCCTGTTGTTATGCCAGTCGACCATTCGAGGAAGAGAGGAGAGGGAGAGGGAGTGAGTGGATGGAGTGGTGGGAGGGCAGAGGAGAGGAGACCGAGCTTCTTCGGTTGCCCTCGAGGTGAAAGAGGTTTCTCTCCCCAAACGCACAGTTGAGATCACCCGCGACAATCACTGGGTTCTGCTCCTCCAGATAGGCGTTTGCGAATTCTCAGCTTGCTGTGACTTGATGTAACTTTGAAAATCCTTAACTTCGAGAATCCTCAGATTTCCTGAACCCCACCTTGACGTAGCCTTTGAGAATTCTCAGATGGCCTGAGGTGAACCTGCCTTGACGTAGCTGCCAAACGCGACGTCCCATTCCTTGGTGCGGTAGTCCTGCAGATGAATGCACACCAATGGCTCTCTGGGAAATGCACTAACCTTACCCCTCCCACGGATGCACTAACTATGTATGTACCTTGACGTAGCTGCCGAATGTGACGTCCCATTCCTTGGTGCGGTAGTCCTGCACACACGAGACAAGGCACAATGGGTGGAACACGCATTGGGGACCAGCAAAGGTACTTCTGGAAATCGTCCAAATTGACAGCCCTGCCAAATTCAGATCCTCCAGCTATGTCGCACTGCCACATGCGACTTTTGAGTCGACTCAAATGCCACATGCGCGTCGTCCCACTCCTTGGTGCGACAGTCCTGCAGAGACACGACGAGACAGAGTGGGAGGGACACGCATTGGGGAACCGTGAGTGCTTGGGTGAATGTAGAAAACGCGACGTCCCATGTCTTTGCGCGATAGCCGTGAGGACACAAGGTACAGCGGGACACTCATGTGAAGTGAGGGTGTTTTTGAGACGTCTCAAAAACACCCTCACTTCCCGTGAGGACACAAGGCACAGCGGGACGGACACTCATTGTGATGAGGCGATTTTTGAGTCGACTCAAAAATCGCCTCAAGGCACAGCGGGACAGTCATTGTGCGAACAGCAAAGCACATTGGGACGAGGATGGGACGAGGAAGCAAAGGGGAGAAAATAACAAGCTTGACTTGGTGTGACTAGCTTGACTCGCATTAACTCGTCTTGACCACCCACCAGCTGGACTAGCTTCTCAGATGAGTTGGGAGTGTAGCAACAGACGAGGAAGAATGGGGCTAGTTAGCTTAACTGGCCTTGACTAGCATTGACTAGCGTTGACTTGCATTGACTTCCCTTGGCTACCCACCAGTCTGACAAGCTTCTCAGAAGAGTTGGGAGTGTAGCAGCAGACGAGGAAGAAGGGGGCGAATCCTAATAGCTTGATTAGCCTTGACTGACGTTGACTTGCATTGACTTCCCTTGGCTACCCACCAGTCTGACTAGCTTCTCGGACGAGTTGGGGGTGTAGCAGCAGACGAGGAAGAAGGGGGCGAATTCCACAGTCACCACGCGCCCCTCCTTGTCGTGCTCTGGCTTGTTGATGCCATAGCGCACTGAGAGAGGAGGCACCTGAAAAGTGGGGGAGATTGGCACATGTACAAAACGATTGATTCGACCGTGACAAGACTCAACAGTCACCACCCGCCCCTCCTTGTCGTGCTCTGGCTTGCCAATGCCGTAGCGCACTGAGAGGGGGGACACCTGAACAGGAGATGGGAGAGAGCGGCACATATGAGATAGTAGTCAGTTACCATTGTCAGTAAATTCCACCCTCACCACCCGCCCCTCCTTGTCGTGCTCTGGCCTGTCCATGCCGTAGCGCACTGAGAGAGGAGGCACCTGAAAGGGAAAGACAGTGAAATCAACAGTGACTGTCTTATATCCCACCGTCACCACGCGCCCCTCCTTGTCGTGCTCTGGCTTGTCCATGCCGTAGCGCACTGAGAGAGGGCGCACCTGAAAAAGAGGGAGTGAAGCACATATGTAGAACAATTCACTCAACAGTGGGTGGCACTAACTCAACCGTCACCATGCGCCCCTCCATGTCGTGCTCTGGCCTGTCGTGCGAGAATACCGCTTGCCTTAGACAGCACTGCCATGCTCTCCACTGCTGCAGCTCCAAAGGGAGTGCGGAAAGGAGGGAGATAAAGCGCCTTTGCAATCTCCCGGACGCCCGTCTGCCTGCCCTTCCATACAGCAACACACAAGTCCCACTGACTCGCCTTGGACAGCACTGCCGTGCCGGAGTATCCAAGCTTGGCCGTGCTGCAGCTCCAAAACGTGTGTGGAAACGTGTGTGCAAACGTGTGTGGAAACGTGTGTGGAAACGTGTGTGGAAACGTGTGTGGAAACGTGTGTGGAAACGTGTGTGGAAACGTGTGTGGAAACGTGTGTGGAAACGTGTGTGGAAACGTGTGTGGAAACGTGTGTGGAAACGTGTGTGGAAACGTGTGTGGAAACGTGTGTGGAAACGTGTGTGCAAACGTGTGTGGAAACGTGTGTGCAAACGTGTGTGCAAACGTGTGTGGAAACGTGTGTGCAAACGTGTGTGGAAACGTGTGTGGAAACGTGTGTGGAAACGTGTGTGCAAACGTGTGTGCAAACGTGTGTGGAAACGTGTGTGGAAACGTGTGTGGAAACGTGTGTGGAAACGTGTGTGGAAACGTGTGTGGAAACGTGTGTGGAAACGTGTGTGCAAACGTGTGTGGAAACGTGTGTGGAAACGTGTGTGGAAACGTGTGTGGAAACGTGGGAGACAGAGCCTTCTGAACCTTCCCCTCGTCCTTCTCCTGCAGCTTCGACTCCTGCCGTCTGCCTGCCCTTCCATACAGCAACACACAAGTTCCACCCACTCACCTTAGACAGCACTGCCGTGCCAGAATATCCCAGCTTAGCCGTGCTGCAGCTCCAGAACGAGTGCGGGAAGGATGGAGACAGAGCCTTCTGAACCTCCCCCACGCCCTTAGACAGAAGGAGAGCAAATAAGGTACCACTCACCTTAGACAGAACAGCTGTGCCAGAATATCCGAGCTTGGCCGTGCTGCAGCTCCAGAACGAGTGCGGGAAGGAAGGAGACAGAGCCTTCTGAATCTCCCCCACGTCTTTCTCCTGCAGCTTCGTCTCCTGCAGGCACACCACGTCAGCACGCTCCCTCTCGGCCAATCGACACAGCACGGTCGCCTCAGCCGCCACGTCAGCAGACACGTCAGCCGCCACGTCAGCAGCCATGGTCACCTCCTGATCCTGCGACTCGCCAGCTGGATCCTGCGATTCCCCCTCCTCCCCTCCGCCCGCCTTCCCCTTTGCTGCTCCCCTTCCCCCTTTCTTCTTCCCCTTCCCCTTCTCTGTACTCTTCCCCCCACTCCCCTCCCCTTCCCCCTCCCCCTCTCCACCTTTAAGCAACGCTCTCAACCCATTCACATTCCAAGACACAAGGCGCCATACCTTCTTTTCTCCTCCTCCCTTCTCCCCTCCCTCCTCCCCTCCCGCCCCTGCCAGCTCACTCCCCCCCCCATCCACGTCAGCTTTCCTCATCGTCTTGGGATCATACGGGAACCAATCAGGTTGCAGCTTTCGGTGAACCAGAACCTTCCAAGGCTCCTGACTAGCTTCGGCATCTGCCTCCATTCGTTTAGCAATCTCCATCTGCTCTTTTTTCGTCAGCTGCCCGGGTTTTTTCTTCCCGGCTTTTTGCGGCCCGGCCTTACCCCGGCCTTTTTTCACCTGGCCTTCGGGAACGGTTTCTTTTCCCTCCCTGCCCTCCTCTTTTTCTTCCTGTGACTCCAACGGCTGTGATTCTGGTTGCGACTCTGGCTCTTGTGACTCCACGTGTCCTGATTCTACTGGCTTGATCCCCTTAGCCTGCTGACCACGTGGGCCTGCGGGTCTTCCCCTCTTTCCCCCTTTCGTCTTCCCCTTCTCCTCTTCCTCCGCTTCCTCTTCTTCCTCCGCTTCCTCCTCCTCCTCCTCCTCTTCTTCTTCGCTCAGCTCTGCGGCTTTCCCTCTTTTCCCGTTTTCCCCCTGCTACCGCTCCCCCTCTTCCCAGAGACCGCGCCCTTCCCCCCGTCCAACCTCCCCCAACCGCGCCCTTCCCCGCTTCCCCCTTCCCGCTCCCGCTGGGTACCTCTCTCGCGCGCTTGACCCCCGCGCGCTCTTTCCCCGCGCCTTCTCCCTGCGCTATTTTTCCGCCAGTCGCAGCGCCAATCTCGGCGTCGCCAGAACGAGCGGCCGCGGCGGAAGCTGCTGCTGCTGCCCGCGTGGAGCGGCGCAGAGCGGTGCTGTGCGGTGCCTCGGAGTTTGTACGCGGAGCGGCGGGTTTACGGTCGCCACCAGCCATTGTTGTAACAGTCCCTAATGATCGAGTCCTCGACACAGTCACAAATGCGGGGACTACTATTCTCGGAAGAACAACGGATATAGCACAACACGAATGGGCGTTTCTTATTAAACGCTTGCAGCGTACCACTAAGGGCGTGACGATCTGATTTCGCGATGATAGACTGCCAGTAACAGTGTCGGTGGCGAACTTTGGCGAAAAGGCGACGGGAGCCGTGGATGCTGTCCGGGCGACAAATCGGATGGCTGCGATGGCCGACGGAGTGCCTAAGGAGTTTCGGATAGTAACGAGCGGCACCATTCAGACGAGTGCAGGGCAGAGCAGAAAATAGGAGGCTACGTTTCTTGTACCTCTACTCAGGACAGGACGCGTCGGCAGGACACTGGCACGATGGTGAAAATAGCCCCTGCTGAAAAAAGTCTCGCTATTATTCAGCCCCTTATCATGACTCGGCGGATTGTAAACAAGGGGCTTATAATATCGAACAGTTCAAAATGTCGCAAATTCCGCAAGAGATTGTTCGCGAATCTGCTCCGATACAAAGTGCTCTTTTCCGAAGTTCAACAAAAGCTAAATATCACGAAGGCTCTGTAAGCTATTCTCTCAAATTCGAGGATTTGAATTTCTCTCAGTTTCCCGCCAAATTCGACAGCAACCTCGATATCTCCCCTCCCTCATTTCAGGATATCACCCCCCTCTTCAGTCATGATTCTTTCAATAGTCCTCGCTCACTCTAGGTTCAGCACTACGTTAGGCTTTCCGTAGGCTTCTGTTTGTGAGTGGTGCATTGACGAGCGTCAGCGTTCTGATTATATTTTTCACTGATAAGCGAAGCTAGCTTAGTTGATAAGCGAATACTCGACGCCAGCCTGCATAGGCGAGCAGATCAGCAACGGTCGTCTGAGAGAATCGGCCGCAGTGATGAAGCGGGGAAGAGAAGACGAAGAGAGTTCGCGACATGATGAAGATGACGGGAAGAATGGGGGGAGTGGTGGAGAAGGCGAGGAGAAGAAGGAAGCAAGAAGCAGGGGAGATGAGGGTGACGGTGGTGGGGAGCCCGCGGGGGACCATGTTAAGACGGCATCGTCTCAGGCTGGGGTAGAAAGGGGGAAACGGGAGAGTGGAACAAGCGACCAAGAGAAGGTTAGGGAAAAGGAGGAGGAGAGAGAGGAGGATGAGGATGAGGAGGACTGTGTTAAGATCGAAGAAGATAATGACGAGGATGTTAAGATAGAGGAGGAGAAGGAGGAGTGTATTGATCTTTTGGACGAAGAGGAGGATGATGGCGGTGACGATAACGAGGCGGCTGAAATCGAGGATGTTTCGGAGGAGGAAGGACCAAGGAAGGTGATGAAGCTGAGCGAAGCTGCGAGGAAATCGCGGAAGCGTGACGTGGCGGAACGGGCGGGGGGCGGGGAGGAGGGTGCAGAGGACGGGAAGGGGGAGGGACTGGCGAAGAAAAAAAGAAGGAAATTGGGGAACGGGAAAGTGGGTGATATGGAGAGGAGAGAAGGGGGGAAGGGCAGCGAGGTTCCAAAAGACGGGGGCGACGGGGGTATGCATGAGGGAGACGGGAACGAGGAAAGACAGGAGGAGAAGGAGCGGAGAGAGGAGAGCAGTGATGGTAGAGAACCGAGAAGAACCGAGAAGGATGGGAAGGGGGAACGTAATCAGGTAACGGTTAGTAGAGATGGTGAAGGGGGAGGTGGAGGAGGAGGAGATGAGGAGGGGGACGACGGAGCTAGGACGCGTGGGGAGCAGGGGGGGCAGGGGGAGCAAGGGGAGCAAGGGGAGCAAGGGGAGCAAGGGGAGAAGGGGGGAAATGGAGAGAAGGGGGACCAGGACGAGGGACGGGAGGGGGAGCAACGACAGGAAGAGAAGGAAGAGAAGGAGGAGATGGGAGAGAAAAAAGGGGAGCAGACGGGGAGCAGAAGGGGGAACAGACGGGAAGCATGGTAACCCGCAAAAAAGACATATCATACGTTCTTATTGACTTAAAGCCACGAGAGCAGACTAAGAAGACAGGGGGGAGCAGGGATAGCAAGGGGGGAAGCGCGGGGGAGAACGGTGGGGGAGGGGGAAGCGGCGGTGCGGGAACGCCTGGGAAGGAGGAGGACGGGGGGAGTGACGAGCAGACGAAAAAAGTAGGGGCGGGTGGGGAGGCTGATGGGGCAGGTGAAAAAGCAGCTGTGGGGGGGGCAGCGCGGACGGCAGAAGGGGGGAAGAAGCGGAAAGGCCTCCCCCCACGCTCTAGGAAAACGGGCAAGAAGGGGGGAGGGAGAGGGGGGGCGCATGGGGGGGCCAAGGGGGGGCTGGCTGGTGCAGGGGCAGCTGGGGGAGGGCCTATAACGGGGATGGGGGACAAGAGGAAGGAGGCGGATCTGGTGAAGGTGGTACCTGCGCCCAAGGGGTTGGAGATCGAAGATGGGCCTGATAAGCCGGTTGTCTTATCACGAGTGTTCCGGGCGGCACAGATCCAGGTAAGCAGCAAAGGCAATCGTATGGTACTGTGAGAGCCACATTTTGCGTCTGGGGCGCACAGGGCACACCCGCATAGGCTGGGCCACGCAGCGAGCCAACAGGCGCTCACCCCTCGCCTTTCCCTCATTCTTGTTACTCTCCTGTTCCCCGCATCCCCGTTTCCATCATCCTCAGTTGAGTGAGGATCGATTATCGGCGACGAGTAGCAAGGGCTATCGCATGGTTCTAGCAACAAGGGGAGTGCTGGAAGGCGCGTGGTCACTCACTTCCCCACACTCCCCTCACTCCCTCCCTCCCCTCCTTCCCTTACTCCGTCTGCAGTTGAGTGAGGACCGATTATCAGCAACGAGCAGCAAGGGTTATCGCACGGTGCTAGCAACCAGAGGGGTAATGGAGGGCGCGTGGTATTTCGAGATCCACATGCTGCATCTGGGGCAGTCAGGGCACGCCCGCATAGGCTGGGCCACACAGCGCGCCGACATGCAGACTCCAGTGGGGTTTGACACGTGGGGGTTTGGGTTCCGGGATGTGGATGGGAGCGTGGTGCATCAGGCAGTTAGGAGGGCGTATGCTGGAGGATCGCTGGATTTTCCTCCGCTGCCTCCTTCCAGTGCTACTGTCACTGCTGCTGCTTCTGCTGCGGCTGCTGCTACTGCTGCTGCTGCTACTGCTGCTGCCGCCACTGCTGCTGCGCCGGCTGCTGCTGCCGCTGCCGGTGGTGACATGGAAAATGCACCTGACAGGAAAGATCCACCTGAAAATGCATCTGCACACCCTGAAACCACTCACAACCGTTCCCAACCCCACCCTGCGGGAGACATAAGCAAGCGGGCGCCGGGGTACGTGGAGGGCGACGTGATTGGCTGCTACATCAGCCTGCCAGGTGGCGCCAGGCTGGCACCCAAGCCGCGGCCACTGGTGACGTGGAAGGGGCAACCGTGCTACGTGGAGAGCGAGGAGAGTGCAAAAGGAGGGCCCCCTGTGCCTGGTAAGCATTGCTCTTTCTTATCAGCGCATGGTAAGTGAATGGTACGTGCGTGGAAGGGGCAACCGTGCTACGTGGAGAGCGAGGAGAGTGCAAAGGGAGGGCCTCCCGTGCCTGGTAAGCGATTTTCCCTTATCAGTGTGTTGGAAGTGTCAAATGCCGGGTAAACCTGCTTAAGCAAAGGGTTGCCTCCTTTCCATTCTCTCCTGTGTTGGTGACATGGAACGTGCAGCCGTGCTACTTGGAAAGCGAGTAAAGTGTTGTTGGGGCCCCTTCCTGTTTGAGGTTGATTTTGAGAATTCTCAAAATCAACCTCAAACAAAATTGGTGACATGGAAGGTGCAGCCGTGCTACTTGGAGAGCGAGTAAAGTGTTATTGGGGCCCCTTCCTTGCCTGGTGAGCGTTTCTTTGTTTTGTGGTGTGCGTTTCTACCTTCCATTCTTTATTGTGCCTTGGCATTGGCAGCCGTGCTGCAGTTCTCCCTTCCCGTTCTTCCCTTTTCTGTGCGTTTCTCAAGTCTAATTATTAAAGGGGCCTTAAACATTCTATGTGTTTCTGAAGCCGCGGCTGCTGATAAAGTTGATGGGGCACCCTTCTATTTCTTTAGTTTCTGCTATATTCTAGGCACCTTAAGAATTGTGTTTTTATTATTTCAACAACCACCCCTCCACAGGAAGTGAAATCGTGTTCTTTCGCAACGGGGTGAGTCTAGGGCACGGCGTTTAAAGACATTCCAGCGGGCAGATACTTCCCGGCAGCTTCCCTCTTCACGCTGCCCGACCAATCAGAGGGTGCCACCGTGCGCTTCAACTTCGGGCCGAATTTCTCACACCTGCCCGCGGACTGGGGCAGCCGGCCTGTGCCTGGAGCTTTTTCGGGTGCCCCACACATTCCTGCTTCGGAATATGAAGCTGATCTTGGGGATGAGGGGGAGGGGAAGGAGAGCAAGGATGGGGAGGGTAAAGAATGGAAGGATGGGGAGGGGAAATATGTGGAGGGGAAGGAGGGTAGACAGGTAAAGGAGGAGGAGGAGGAGGAGGAGGAGGAGGAGGAGGAGGAGGAGGAGGAGGAGGAGGAGGAGGAGGAGGAGGAGGAGGAGGAGGAGGAGGAGGAGGAGGAGGAGGAGGAGGGTCGGAGCAAAGGGGGGGAAATCGTAAAGGATGAGAAAGAGGAGGATGAAGGTAAAGAGGGAGGAGAGACCAAGGATGGAAAGCTAGAGGGTGGAGAGGAGGGAGAGCGGAAGGAGGATGCGAGGAATTGTGAGATGGATGAGGAAGAGGGGAAGGAGGTGAAGAAAGAGAGGGAGGACATAGACAAGGAAATGAAAGGTGAGGAGGATGGTGTGGGTGATAAAGAGGGGAACGCCAACGAGAAGGGTGGGTTACAAGAGGACGAGAGGGAGGGAGAAGCGGGGAGTGCACATATTACTGAGGGGGGAGAAGCGGATGGAACTAGGAATGCGGATGGAGAGGGAGGTGAAAATAATTCGTGAAAGGAAAGGAGGGAGGGTAATTGGGATCAAGATTGGAGACCTAGGAACTAGAGATGCAAGGATAGAGGAGAGGAGAGTATGGTCGTTGTGTCAAGGTTCAAGCGGCGTTTTAAGACATTTGTGGGTGTGATGTGTCGGAGGAGTAGTTGGGGGATGCAGCAGTTTCAAGACGTTTGTTGGACTAATATATCATGTTTGAGGGTGTGTACTATCAGTTTATACATGGTTAGTTTCAAGTCGTGTTCTTCTGTGGTTTCTCAACTTCCAGCCGCTGTCAGTTTTGCGGATAAATTTTACCGATTTCTATTGGCTGGGAACCGTCGCCAGCACTGTCGGTGGATGATTTTTCACGTCGGTGGAAGGCGTGTGGATGGCACATGCGGCCCAAACAAGCCCACATTCAGCTAACACCAACATTTTCGACAAGCCCAAGCTTCGTAACCATCCGCGGAACAATCACCATCCCAAGCATCGCCTAATTCACCTTTGCCCCGATTGTAGCAGATTTACGTCATACCACTTCCATACATGATGCCAGGGTTGAGCCACTCCCAGTTGCCTTGTGAAGGGGGCGCTTGAGCTGTTCTTATATTTCGCATAAGTTTCGTCAATTCGCAGCTAGCAAAAAAGGATTCGTCAGGTGCTTATAAAATAATTGTAGCTTACTCGTTGACAATTTGACTTCGGTCTTTTCGTTACTATTGGTGCAGAACCACGCGACGTGCAGCTGGCTGGGGAAAAAAACACGGGTGCAGAGTTTCCATCCGGTGCAGGGAAAATTCGCGTGCAGGGGGTGAGCATCATGTGTACCTAACCATAACTGAATGTATACATACCGTGTTGAAACGCATAGAAACCCGCTGAACCGTACAAATAGTTCTGCCTAAATTTATTTGAGGCGCTACTATTCCCGTCTTACCCCAGAAGCTAGAATTTGGTGAAAGCTTCGTCTGCTATTCCTCGCATCCGCAATACACGCTAGCCGTTGTTTGGCAGAATCGTCACCTCTTAGCTCGCAAAAGCATGGATACGTCGTCTGCCACGTGTCTTTGCTTTAGTTGCACCGCCACTTCGCGGTGCGCTCTTGGGATCTTGTCTTCGCCAATGAGTCGAGATTTTAGACTAGGGGCATTATATACAAGGCCAGATATTATCTCGCTGCGAGCGAGCCTGGGAGTTTCACTTGTGCATACTTCCTGCAAAAATGCTCTCCCATTTCGTGGGAGTCGCAGGCGTGAACTTCGGAAACACCCGGAAAGCGCAGGACAATTGCAATGAAATTCAGTCAACAGTTTTCCTTGGTGCATTTGTTCTTTGAGTAGATACTTTCCATGCGACGGTTTCATTTCTCTCCATGAAGCGGTACGTCGCCGCCTTTACTTCCCGATTATTTTCGCATCCGGCTCAGCTGTTCGTTTTCCCTTCAGAACGTCTAGGTCCCACCCAAGACTACTAAGTCTGCTCCTTACGCGCTAGTACTCCTATAGTCGACGTTCTTAACGGACAGAAGCTGGTTTGATTGCGGTTCCGGAATTTAATATTCATCCTTCGAGTTCAGGCTCCGGGGATGAAACTCACGTGATCCGTGATGGACGATCAGGATCTCTTGATGAGCGATCGGACGGACGGGGAGAGCAGCGCTGGTGGGATGAACGGCTCAGATTCGTCGCGTTTTGCGGGGATTCCACTGCAATATTCTTCCGTTAGCGCTCGCTCGGATTGGGAAATGCCCCAATTTGGAAGCAGCAGCAGTCTAAACCTGTCTGCCCTTCCTCCTTCCTGCAATGGCTCAGGGGAAATACCCCCTTTTAAAATCTCAGGTGAAATACCCCCGTTTGGTGACTCAGGATATCATTTTTCAGGGGAAATACCCCCATTTGACGAGGCAATGTTGGAGCCGTTCCAGCTTTCTGGGCAGATTCTTGCTGACGTGGCAGCGGCGTTTGACCACGCCAGGTCAACGTTTGCATGTGTGGAGCCCACGTGTCCCACAGATACCACCTTCACCTCTGCTGCTTCGGCCTTCCCTGCTGCTGCCGTCTCACCTGCTTCCGTCTCACCTGCTGCCGTCTCACCTGCTGCCGTCTCCCCCTCGCGTGAACGTCTGTCCGCCCTGCTACAGCCGGCCGCACCACCATCAGGTGCACCAGAGCAAGCGCATGCTACAGCCGACACACTGACTACCGCTACTGCTTCTGCTGCAGTTACAGCTGGCCTCGCCTTCAGCCTGTCCGCCCCGCTACAGCCGGCAGCAGCGCCATCAGGTGCACCAGAACGAGCATGTGCTACAGCCGCTAGTCTGAGCATTGCTGCTGCTTCTGCTGCAGCCGGCCCTACCTGTGCGACCAGTCACCCGGCCGCTCCGCACTCCTCCCAACCGCTTCATCTTGTGAAGAGGAATGCTGAGACGTCCCCGAACCTGCTTACTCCACCAGTTGCACCCATGGAAGGGAAACTATTCGCCCCTCTCCACCCATCTACACCTCTCCTCTCATCCGCACCCCTCCCCCCATCAACACCTCTTCGCCCATCAGCACCAGCAGCAGCAGTACTATCCGCGCCCAATAGCCCAGCCGCTCCGCACTCCTCCCAACCACTTCGTCTCGCACACACACCACCTGGCAGGTTGGGACAACCCTCTCCGCCCGACCCGTGCCGCCCAGCAGCGTTTCCTCTTCTGTGTCTGCCCCAGTGTGTCCCTGTACCTCCTCTTAGCTTTGCTCTTCCCACACCATCCCCCTGTGCCGAGCCCAAACCACCTGCCCGTGCTTTCCCCATACGATCTTCCCCACCAGCAAATCTGCCTGTAGCACCAACGGTAACCCCACCTGCCAGACTGGTTATAGCTGCAGCGCCAGTCACATCAGCCAGCCCGGCTGTAGCACCAACGCCAACCACATCAGCCAGCCCGGTTGTAGCCGCGACACCATCCCTGCCTTCAAAGCTGGCTATAGCAGCAGCGACAACCCCACCAGCCAGCCCGGTTGTAGCACCAACGCCAACCCCACTAACCAGCCCAGCTGTAGCAGCTACACCACTCGCTGCTGCCACTCCCTTAGAGGCCTGCGATAGCCGAGGCATGAGCAGCAGCAGCAGCGGCAGCCACAACAGCCACAGCAGCAGCAGCAGCAGGAGCAGCATCAGCAGCGGAAGCCGCAGCAAGAGGAGGAGGGAGGGGGGAAGCGGATCTTGTGATAATCCTACCTGCGAGGAACAACATCTCTCCATGCATTCAGGGAGAATGGTAACAGCACCGCCTCTCCAGGGTCTTGAGGGGTTTACCAGGGCTGTGAGGGAGGGGGTGGGCGGAGTGGCATCAACAGCACCACCTCTCCTGAGTCTTGAGGAGTTTACCAGGGCTGTTAGGGAACGGATTGCTATGGCGGGTGGGGGTGTGGGAGGTGGAAGGGTCGAAGGTGGGAGGGTGGGGGATGGGAGTGTGGAGGGTGGGAGTGTGAGAGGTGGGAGTGTGGGAGGGTGGAGTGTGGGGGATGGGAATGCAGGAGGAGGGAGTGTGGGAGGAAGGAGTGTGGGGGGAGGGAGTGTGGGAGGGGGGAGTGTGGGAGGAGGGAATGTGGGAGGCGTGACTACCGGTTGTGTGACTGTAATGCAGCCTGACGCTGTTGCTGCAGGCTGCGAGGTTTCTGTAGGTGGGAGGAAGGAACTGGAGGGGAGTGGGAGCAAGAGGACAGGCGTGAAAGGGATTGCGGTGAGGAGGAGACGCAATCGAATCAGATCTGAACGATCCCGCCGCAAGCGAGTGAGGTGAGTCGGGAACAGGAATAAGTAAATTACAAATGCGAACCAACAAGACCAATATCTGGCCTCTTATGAAAGGTCTAAAAAGAAAGGGGGAAAAACAACAAAAATATGTTACTTGTTGACTTCATTCTCCTCTATTTTTCTCTCTCTATCAAACTCCTTTTTGGATTCTGACTTGCCTTTTCCGCTTTCCTTTCCTTCATCTCCAGTGATGCGGTGGAAACCCTTAGGTTGTTGGTCCCGGCTCCAGTGTCGGCTCCAACTGATATGGCATCCGTGCTAGAAGCCACAGCGGCATACATCCGAGAATTGCAGGTAAGCTGCGTCTGGGAGGGTGTGTGATGTCTTATTACTGTTTGTTTCTTTTGTTTGCTCGGTTTTGTTTTCGTTTGTTGTTTTTTTTGTTTTTGCTTTTGTTTGCTGGTTTGGTTTTTGTGTGGCTAAATCAACCCCCTGTTTTCCATATGACGCATGGGTTTGTTGGTACTATAGGCCCTCACAGACACTCTCCAAAGCATGGCCTTGGTCCAGAAGACAACCAGAGACCAATAATGCGCTCACGATGGCATCATGACTCAGGGCGTTTTCCTTCACTTCAGTACGGGCTGTCAAATGATGCCACACTTGATGGATTCAGAGCTTGACATCCATTTGTTGTACCGATTTGCAGGAACACGCCCTTGGTTTCCTTTTAATCGTTTTTCGTTTTGTTTCGTGTCCTTATACAAGAAAAAAATATGTTTGTTTTCCAGGCATGGGCGTTCTTTACTGCTACTACCAGTTGGTTTATACCTGGCAGACTTTACTATAATGGAAAGTGTTAGACATGATACACAAATCCGTCCTCAAACGGATCAAGTTTTTTTCAATCTTCGTCGTAACCAATGCCGAAGTTCTGCGACGCCTGCGACCCAAGCCCACGACAGACTCAGATCTAACCCACAGCACAGCAGCTCCGTCCTATTCGCGAAACTCAGTAACATTCTCGCCGATCTTGTTTGTGGCTTCGCACAAGCCCACTTCCACCGCAAACCGTCGCTTCTGGAAGCTGGCGAGTTTCGTCTGAGCTGGAGCCCGCTCAGCACACACTCACGCCGTGCTGCCACCACCAGCCAGCCAACGAACTATCTATTCCCTGAATCTCGGTTTTCGCTTTCCTGAATCTAGCTTTTCTGCTGATCTGAAATTCCCTAGGTCACTTGCAGTTTTCATCTTCTGTTTCTGTTCCTTTCTCAGATTGCTGTCCTGATCCCTAGACTCCTTGTACCCTGATCCCTTCTGCTGTTGTAGGCTCCGCAACTTCGGGGGTTGTACTTTAGACCATTTTTGTTTTTTATCAGTCGTTAAATAAATACCTACGCTGGCACCATGGTGTCCGATGGCTCTGGTCCTGCCGCTTCTGGCCCTGCAGCTACGGCCGACTGGGCTTTCGAGGTAAGCCGTAGGAGACGACTCGCTAGCGATCAGTGTCCGGGTCTCAATTCAAGGTCAACTAAGTACGCTCCTTAAGATCCGTGCTTGAATCCAGCTTTTTCAGCGACGATTCTGATCTTACCCTTCATGTGTCGTTAGTAAAGCTCCGGTGAGTGAGGTTCGACTTCTGATCCCGCTTGTTCTCTAGTATGGATCTAGTTTAGAGGATTTAATTTTAATGGTAATTTCCAGAGTTTTTCTCATTTCCAAGTCAGAAAGGCGTTTGCGTCGGATAACGACTTTCAAGGCGTTTCAAGCAGCGCCGTTTCCCCTCTCGCACCTCTCGCAGGTCGGCAAGGCGTTCGCGTCGCAGTACTATACCGTGATGCACACGCAACCGCACGACGTGCACAAGTTCTACGTCGACGAGAGCAAATTCACGCGCGCCGAGCGCCTCGGCATTCCCGGGGAAACCGTGACGACCATGCAGGTGCGTCTCGCCGTGACGGAATTTGTGGAACAGGTCACGAGATCTGTTCCTCACAAGCACTTGGGTTGGAGAAGCGTTAGTAGCAGCAAGGTAATGAGAGGACTGCATCAGTGTGAAGGTACAGGAAGGAATGCTCTAGTGTACCAACCATGAAGGAACTTGCGTTGTTGTTCTGAGAACGAGGACTTTATTTTCGGTAACTGGCAATGTGAAAAAACTGGTTACTCATATTCCTCACGCATGTGTGGGCGTGTGTGTATGGGTTTGCGGATCATATGCTTGTGTGGTTTTCATGATCTGCATGGCATGAACGGGTTGTGGTTTGGCTTGGGTGCTTTGTATGGCTTGTGTGGCCCGCATGTGGGTTTGCCTTTCCCGCACTTGCACATGGCGTGTTCAGGGTATCCACACCAAGGTGATGTCGCTGGATTCATGCGAAGTCAAGGCGGAAATCAAATCCGTGGACTGCCAGGAATCTCTCTCCGGCGGCGTTCTCGTGGTGGTAACCGGCGCGCACTGTTACAGCAGCAGCGAGCGACGCGGCTTCGTCCAGAGCTTCTTCCTCGCGCCGCAGCAGAACGGCTTCTACGTCCTTAACGACATCTTCCGGTTTCTAGAGGACGCGCCGCCGCCGCAGCCGCCCGCCGTAGTTAAACACGCCGTCGGCGGGGGTACTAAGTCGGCCGCGTCGGCCTCTGGATCAGCTGCAGCTGCTGCTGCGGGGGGTGCGTCTCAGGCAGGTTTGTTGAACGGGCACGCGGCGGATCAAGCAGCGGGATCCCGGGAGGTTACATCTGTGGATCATGCGGTGCGAGATGTAACGGTCGATGAGGCGTCCCAGGCGTCCGCGCCTGCCGCCGCGCCCAGCGCCGCAGCCGGCGGAGCCGAGGCTCCCCCGGCCGCGGACGACGGCGCTGCGGTGGAGGAGGTGCAGGTGATTCGGGAAGTGCCTGAGTCGGTCGTTTCCGTGGATCAGGGCCAAGGGCAGGGTCAAGGGGCGGGAGTGGGAGCCGCCGCAGCAGCGGCGGAAGGGGAGAAGGCGGAAGCGTCTGTTGCGCCTTCCGCCCCAGTTTCCGCGCCTGCTGTCCTTCCGAGTCCTGCGGGCGGGGAAGCGGCTGCGGGAGCCACACCTGCGTCAGCTGTAGCACCAGCTATAGCAGCTGCACCCGCAGCAGCAGCAGCAGCAGCAGCAGCAGCACCGCCTGCAGCAGCGGTAGCGCCTGTAGCAACTGTAGCTCCAGCGGCGGCGGCAGCACCAGCTGCAGCGGCGGCACCTGCTACTGCGTCTGCGTCAGATGAACCGGCCCCTAAGAAGTCTTACGCCTCTATTGTGAGTGATCATGCTGGTGTTGAAACATCAAAACTCCAGTACGTCTCTAACATGAGTGATCATGCTGGTTGGGTTTGTCACAGACCCCACATCACATTTCAGTTGCGCAATGCTAGACTCGCCGTGATTCGTGGAGTTATTCCCCGTCACAATAACTCCCATCCTCACTGGAAGCAAGCCTGTTATGAATTTGACAATGAGGGTGTTGCTAAACCCATTCTAACCCCCTTCCTCGTATCTCAACCTAGCCCACGTGCCAACCCGCCCAACCCGTACCTTTCTTGAGCCTCGCTTCCCCGCCCCACACACCCCTCCGCCATCCCACCCCACAGCTGCAAGCCATGCGCGCGCAATCCGCAGCTGCATCACCCGCGGGCGCCTCCGCGGGCGCAGCTTCCGCGCCTCTCTCCGCCACTCCCCCCGCAGCTGCGCCTCTGGGGGCGGTTGCGCCCAGGCAGCCGCCGCTTCTCCCTGCCGCAGCAGTTGGGGGTGCTGGGGCGTTTGGGGGGCAAGAGGCAGCACCTTCTGGGGCAGCAGCTGGGTTCTCTGCTGGTTTGCTTGCCCCTGCTCCTGGTTTCGCTGCTGCTGGTGGTGCTGCTGGGGCTGGAGAGGATACCAATGCTGCTGACGAAGGTAGGAACGATGATTATTGCGATGGCCATAGGGCAGGGCGGGGGAGGGTTCTTGCTTGCTGCAGGGGAGGGCCCTGCTGTGTTTGTGCGCATGACTGCCAAAGAGATGCCGAAGTTTTCTAGCAAAACACTGCATCCCCTGTGTGCCCCCCGTGTGCCCCACAGCTGCAGGGGAGGGCCGCGCTGTGTTTGTGCGCAACCCGCCAGTGCACATGAATCAGTGCCAAAGAGATCGCAGAGCACTTGAAACTCAACCCATCCTTTCCTTCCCTTCCCCTGCATGTGCCATGCGTGTGCCTCTGCTCCGTGTGCCCTTTGTTCCTCACAGCTGCAGGGGAGGGCCGCGCTGTGTTTGTGCGCAACCTGCCAGTGCGCATCACTGCCAAGGAGATAGCAGAGCACTTCAACCAGTTCGGAGCAGTGAGAGCCGACCGCATCCAGATCCGGGGCAACAAGGTACAGGGTTGTTGCCTGATTGGGAAAAAAGGGGCACATTGGACATGGACAGGCAAGATCCTCTCAGGCCAGTTTTGAGACGTCTCAAAGCACGTCTCAAAATTTGTGACGTCTCAAAATCTGTGACGTCTCAAAACACGGTATGGGGTTGTTGCCTGATCGGGGAAAAGGTAAGATCCTCTCAGTGCCCCTTGGCTCTTGGACAGGCCATTCCAATCCAAACTGGCTCAAGTGCTCTGCAATCTCCTTGGCCTTGGCAGTTAAGGTTAAAATCCTCCTGTGCTGCCAATCTCTCTGTACCCTTTCTCCTTCAGGCCAACAACCCCGCTACAGTGTACGCGTTTGTGGAGTTTGAGGAAGCTGCAGCAGCACTAGCGGCAGTAGAGGTTAGCAAACGGGCTCTTGGGTTTGTGGCTGAAGAGGTGTTGGTTGATGGATCGTGTTCCGTGCCTCTAACGTCTATGTATAGACGACTCACAAAAAGGCTGTAGATGAGAGTGGAAGAGGCGTTTTGGGTTAAGGGCATCAGGCTTGAGCATATGATAGGGTGTTTGACTGTTATTGGGCGGTGTTTGTCGTGCGTACTTTCTGTTGAGGCTTTGTGCGCTGTGGATCCGCTCTCTGCTCTGCTTGCTTCTTTCCATTGAGGTCGTTTTTGAGGCGCCTCAAAAACGACCTCAATGTTGAGGCTTCGTGCGCTGTGGATCCGCTCTCTGCTCTGCTTGCTTCTGTCCATTTTTGGTTGAAACTTCTTTGCTTAAACCCTTTACGGTGTGTGTTGTTTTGGAGATCTCAAGTCTTGAAAGAGAGAACTTAACTGCTTAACCCGTCTTGTGTTTGCCCACGCACAGAAACAAACCATCATGGTGGGGAATTTCCAAGTTAAGATCGAGGAGAAGAAGGCGACTAGTACGGGCCGAGGTGAGCTTTCTGGGCTTTTAAGAAAAGGGGTGGAAGGGGGGGGGGGGGGGAGAAGGGATATCTAAATAAAAAGTTGGTGGGTCGTTTGGTTGTCCATGGTTAGAAACAAATGATCATGGTGGGAAATTGTGAAGAGTGGGGAGACTAAGGTGACACGCACGGGCCAAGGCGAGTTCTGGGATGCGGTGGCGGCGCTGTCGGTGGTGCTGCTGGTGCTGGTGGCACCAGTAGTGCTGTTGTTGGTGGTGTCGGTGCTGGCAACTCCAGGACTACTTCAGGAACCTAGAACTTTCATTTTCATTTCCTTCTTCTTTTCTCTCTCCCCCCACCCCCTCCCCTCCCAGGCTCATATCGTCGTACGGGAGGCGGTCGGGGCGGCTCGGATCGCCAATTCCGCGACGGCAGCAGCAACTTCACCGGTGCTGCTGCTGGTGGCGCTGGTGTTGGTGGTGCTGGCGTTGGTGGTTCTGCAGGTGCTGCTGGTGCCGGTGCCGTTGCTGGTGGGATTGTTGGAGTTGTGAGCAACAGGGGCGGGCGTGGGGGGTCAGGGTTCGGTTCTCGCGGTCAGCAGCAGCAGGTGCAGGGGCAGGGACAATGGCAAGGGCAGGGACAGGCAATGCAGCAGGGACAGGGGTTGACTGGGCAGGCCATTCAGGGGCAAGGATTTCAGCAGAATCAGGGGTTACAGGGGATGCAGGGGTTTCAGCAGGGGCAAGGGGGAGGTGATGGGGTGAGTGGGGCCGGGCAGGGGGGATGGTCGTCAAGCGGTGGTGGAAGGGGGAGAAGAGGGGGACAGGGACGGACAGGAGGGAGTAGAGGAGGGGGGCAAGGAGGAGGGGTTGCAGTGGTGGCTCCATCATAAGGGCTTGCCTGGGTTGTCGTAAGTGACTGACTGCAGTGGCTGAAGTGGTGCATTTCATTGTCATGGGCTACATGCTAGGTCATTTCTTCATCATTGCATTTTCGTTGTCATCATTGCATTTCCATCGTCATCATTGCAGCTTGGGTTTGTGTGACATGGCATTGGTTTCACCTTCATTGGTTTCTATTGTCTGAAAGTCTGTAGGGGAAGTGTGGTAGAGAGAGGCCGTCAGCATGTTGATGACAAATATGGCTCACAGGTAATCGTGAGCTGGACTCTCGGTTCGTGTTGTGCTGCGTGTGTCATCGAGCTGGCCAGTGCATTGTCTTGCTGTGACAAATAGTGCAACAAGGATGACGTAGGGCATAAAGATTTGGGGATGTGACACATAGTGGCTCAATGTGACACTTTCCAACCGAGGACTGAAAGACTGTCCCGTCCTAGATTAGTGTCTAAGATGAATAATTCATACAGTGTAGCTCCTGCTGGCAGCTGTGGCTCCCTTCGTATATTTGGAAAGAGAAACGGTCAAGCATTTGCTTCGCGAAGCGCAGAGATTCGCCAACCAGCAGCTAACCAGAATGCGGCATTTGCAGCCTCTCGCGAGGCAAGCGGCTGGAGGCTTTCGTGACTCAGTAACAACATCAGAGGTCGCACAACGACGAACGCCACCTTGAGTTCAAAACTCCACCGTCCAGTCTGGTATGATACGAGTCAGCTGAAAGGAGAGTCAGAGCAGGAGAAACTACTGTAGCCAGTCATGGATGGAGCGAGCGCGGGTTTCATCAAAAGCCACTTTCGTTCACCCAGCTGCTCCTTCTTTTCCTAGTCTTTGCCGACTGTTTTTGTGGTCTAAAGAATAGAGATGTCTCGCACACAGATCAAAGATTTATCTGACGAACTTCTAGTGAAGATCTTCTGGCAGAGCGATCAGCCAATTCGTTACCAACCTAACATTGACGCTGTGTGGACTTGCTGTGGTACTAGGCCGAGATACCTCCATTCAAAACGCGAAACGCTGAGACCCAACGAGGGTCCTCTACCGGCCCTTCCTGTCTCCGCAAACCCCTCCTTTAGTCTGCTCATCGCTTCAGTCTGCCGTCGCTGGCGCCGTCTCGCTCGGCGCTACGTCTCCACACTTGTTGTCAAAGGCAGCCTTAAAGACGACCTTTTAGTGTCCCGCGTGGAGATTATGACCGCTATCACTTGCTTCCCGAACCTAACTCATCTTGAAGTCAGCAATGTCTTCTTAGGAACGATAAACGACGAGTTCTTATATCACCTCGCCTCGTCATGTCCTAAGTTGAGAATTCTTGGCTTATCCAGCGACTCGGAAGAACTGTACGCGGGTGGTGATAGGGAGGATGTTCAGCCTCTAGCTACATCTTCTCTGGATGCTTTATTTCGGCGGTGCACTCAACTGGAACAGCTTAATCTCTCCTGTGTCCATGACGAGACGGTCCTGCCAGCATCGTTTTTTCAACTAAGCCGTCTTCACACTCTTGCTATTTTCCAGAGTGACTCGTTATGTAGACGCCAGGAACTTGTGGAGTTATCTTCACTGACCGTTCTGGACATTTCCGTTACAGGAATGGCTTTTCAGGAGCTCGTCAACCTCACTGCCTTAAGTGGATTAACTAGCCTTTCACTTCCGGATGCATTCTGCTATCGTAACGATTCTACCGATTATTCGTTTTCCATCGCACAGTTTCCTTTCCTGAAATCACTGAAATTCTTGGATAGCTGTCCTCGATTCGACCGACTGTTTCCTTCCGGCTCGCCATGCACCACTCTCGAAGAGCTATGGATCACCAACTGTGGGGAACTCGAGCGTTTTCCTAACGACGTTGCCACGCTGTTGCCATCTCTTCGCATTCTAAGTCTGGATCAATACTCTATCCATGCGCAGCTGCCTGAAGAGCTTGAGCTTCTCTCCTTAACCCGTCTCGAACTTCTAAAGATTTCCAGCTGTAAAGGGTTATTCAGCCTGCCCGAAGACTTCGGATGCCTGACTGCCCTAAAGACATTGGTTCTGGAGCACCTTCCACTCGCGGATCTCCCTCAATCCCTGTGTCGTCTCTCGTCACTGGAAACGCTGTTTCTGATCCGTTGCCCGGAGATTCGCGAATTGCCGATGGGATTCTGCTGCCTGACAGCTGTCAAGACGCTGTGGCTCGTGGAGTTGCCTCAGATCATGCTTCCAGCGGGTATCGGAGGGTTCAAACAGCTGCAGACTTTTTACCTGAATGACAATCAGACGCAGCTGCTGCTTCCATCCTCTTTCACTCAACTCTCTTCCTTGACGCGGTTGGAGCTTAATAGCTGCTCGCTTCTTAAACTTCCGGAGGACATTGAGAAGCTAAGCAGCTTACGAGAATTGTTCATAATTTCCTGCCAAATTGAGGAGCTTCCAGAGTCGCTTTCAGGCATTTCTGGCCTTGAAATTGTGGCCGTTGATTGCTGCGCAAGGCTACGAGCTGTACCATCCAGGCTGGATGCTTTCTCAAGGCTTGAATTGCTGAAGTTTGAGGAATGTGAGAACCTGACGGAATTGCCTGAATTCCTGCCACAATCTCTTGAGGAGCTCAACCTCGGGAACTCCAAAAACGTCACACCTCTGCCGAATTTCACCGTGCTGCCAAAGCTGAGGACGCTGAACCTGAAACTGGTTGAGGTTGCTTGGGCCGTGACAGCCAGCAAGGGCTTATCCCGTCTGGAGCATCTGTATCTGGAATCGTGTAATGCTAGGAAGCTTCCATTCCCATTGGTCTACCTTTCTCAGCTTCATACTTTGGCAATTGGGAGTGCCTTGAGGGTGGAGGCGCTCCCGAGTTTTGGGTCCTCGATGGTGCAGCTGCGGCAGCTGCGTATTCACGATGCCAATGAGCTGAAGGAGCTTCCAGCAAGCATTGTGGAGCTTCCGCGTTTAACGACTCTGGAGGTTCATGCTATGAAGCTGGTTTCTCTTCCCGAGAATTTGGGTGCTTTATCCAGGCTGCAAGAGCTGAACCTATCCAAATGCTCTGCCCTAGAGCATCTGCCTGCTTCTGTGACCCAGCTTGCCTTTCTTTGTCGCCTGGATGTTGAAGACAGCCTGATCCGCTCACTGCCGCCTGGGTTTGAGCGGTTGGCCAGGCTCCATTCACTGAACCTGAAGGACTGCAAGCAGCTGGAATCTCTGCCTGAGAATTTCACCAGGCTCAAGATGTTGCGGGACCTTTTTGTTGAGGGGTGCTCTAATTTAATTGATGCTGAGGGTTTTGTGCGTCCTTGTGGCGTACATTCGATGAAAGGGTTGAAAATTCTAATCCACCGGTACGGTAATGCATACATCTGCCTTACGCCTCCTGTTTGTTGATGCATCACCCTGTTGAAGCTATTTGTTGCAGCAATTCTTGTTTGTAAGAACTTGATTAGTGCACGTTTATCCTGCGCTTTATCGTGTCATTTATACAGGTTAAGTGCTACTTACGCCACCCGAACAATGACACCGAAAAACAGCATTGCAATGCAATATCGAGAGAGATCCCTCATCAGTCAACTTTGCTGGGTCCTCCGATCTTCGTAGTGTAGCAGCACTGGGTGGGTCTGGCCTGGTAGATCTAGGATTTCTGCTACCAAGTCTACACACTTTGCCTAGAGAAGTCAGTGATGCAGCTAGCGTGCTTATTAACTCTAGGGCTCTCTCACATGTTTCTTTACTATGCC